AGCTGTTGCTATAATCGACGATATTTGATTTTGCAAAGCGGACGATTGAACACATTCAGGTCGAGGGGATAGACTGGCGTAGACTCCCTTCTACAATCAAGGACGTCGGCACATCCCCTGTGAAAAAGAACCATCTCGAATGGGAGTTGAGCAACGTCTATAGGTTCCCTAAAAATGTCCGGGGGGTATGTGGAATAACGGAGATACAGGGAGAAGGCGTACCATCAAGATTCAGCCGAAATTGTACAGTAGCAAGAATCGGAGATTAGATGGCAGAAAACTGCCATCGAACTTGTAACATGTGGTTTGGTCACCGTCGCGTTGCTTGCCCGCAGCAAACGGTGCAGTCTATGGGATACTTACTCGAGGTTTCCTAAGTGCACGTGTAGTCTATGCAGCTATCTCTTGCAGTAGAGTACAACAACAATAGTTTACCGGCACGCAGACCAACCCATTTTACCTGAATCGTGAGCTCCGCGGGCGGCGCGGCAACCAGACCATCATCTTCTTGAGGCGAGGGACGTCGGTCATGCCCGTCCCGGCTCCGTGACCCTCGTCGCTGCGCCGCGTACGCTGGCATGCTATCCTATACTTTGCGGTCAAACGTACAGATAAGATCGTGCCGAACTCGTCATCATCATGCGTTCATGATAAGTTCGCATGCATACGTTGGCGTCCACAAACAATACCGAAGTAAAGGTGACCGCCATACATAGCAGCTCTAGGATACAGCCCACCGCCATACATAGCAGCTCTAGGATGCAGCCCACCAGGCGAGTTCCAGTTGTGCTATATTCTGCACCACATGTGCAGTTTGCACCGCATGCTCGCATCATTTCTTCTATTCCGCTTCTCGGGACGACCGCACGCCTTCGACGTACATATCCGACGAAAGATCGTGAGTGTTCGCGGTAGTTGCTGCGTTCGGCCTACATTGATTGATGGGGTACAGATCAATTACATTCCGGTCGGAGCCCGTAATGTCTCCCTCCTCTAATCCCCGCAACCATGCTCCCCGATCATGGCCGCCCCCTCCCTCCACGGCGTCAATGTCGGAGGAAAAGCAAACAACGCACCAGCGTGCAGTCGACCTGACATGCACGTTTCACTTTAAATTTTGTTTACTGTAGAGCCGCAGGATTTTTATGCGCATCCAACCGTACATAGTGGCAGCAAACAAAAGCGCATAAAAACAAAAGCTTCCCGTCACTCTACCTGGGGAAACAACCTCCTGGCGCTCGCCAGCTCTTGCACGCGCGTACGCTCGCGAGCGCGAGAGTGAGAGAGACCGGGGGGGGGGGTGACCAATTCGTGGAAGATCCACGGTAGGGTACCCGTGATCGCCTCGTTCTTAGCTGTGGTCCCCCTTGCTGCCGGCCGCTGGCTCTGCTTTGGAGCTGTACATATAAGCAAGCGCTGCGCAGTGAGCGTTGCGCAGGCCGTGTCTGTCTCCTTGCCGTGCTCCTCTCACCGTACCTTCCGGCAAGCAAGGCTTGGTCTTGGGCCCAGCGTTCGGCACGATCGCAAGCGCCTCGGGCGCGGAGCATATCTCGAATCTCGAACGGTTGGACAGCTCAACACACGTCATCTTTCCCCGCACCTCGCATCAACGCAAGGGCATGGCTGCGCAAAGGGTGAGTTCGAGCACGTTGAGCCATCCATATAGATGGCGAGAGGTCTGAGAAATAACTCAGAGCTCCACATCAAGATTTGCAGAGTGTGCAACAGCAGCAGTCAACCCGTCTTGTCAAAGACTAAGCAAGAGCTGAAACGCTCTTTCGTGTATGACGTCAAACAACACGTCATGCTGCGGCTTGGTCCCAACCGCAAGAATGCAACAGGTTCTTCTTATTTCCCTCCATCTCATCTAACAACGCATTGCTGGCGCATAGCCAAACCCACCACCTTGCCGCACTGCTCACGTGCTTCAACATGTAGCATGTGCGATCACATACACACAAAATTATGAAAAATCAATATGTCCGAGTACAGACCACATCAAGTTCGTTGCACGGCAGCTGTAATACAAGCAACATTTCGACTAGTATCCAGTATATTTGCATAAATTACTTCGAAAAAACTGCGTAAGACTATGGGAACGAATGCTGTCTGACATACCTGCTGCAGAATGGTCGACTCTCCTGAAGTATTAAAAATGCCGACCCGCTCGTAAGGAACACCTATGCGTATTTCAGCTGAGGCTTGAATCTTGTTGCCGCAGCCTCATCTGAGCTGAATTTCTCATGTCCCACAATGTCTTATTTTTTCCCGATGAGAATTGCACAATTTCTTATTTTCACAGTATCTTATTTTTTTCACCATACAAATTGAACAATTTCTTATAAACGCCATTTCCTTTTCCACGGCCACGAAGCTTTGCACTCCTCATCTCCACATGCGACCAGAACGTGTCGTCTATGGGCTTGATTGATAGCCCTCGCGTGCTTCTTGATGGGATCTTTGTGGGTGCTCTCTATTTTTGTAGCCGGCATCAACAAAGCTCGACAACCTCTCGAGGTTGCCGGTGGATGCGTCTGAACGCGGCATTGCCTTCCTTGCGCGTGAAGAACACAAGTTTTGGTGCAAAGCGGCGCGCATCCAGGGGGGTCCGTCGACGCAATCTCAAGGAGACCCACCGTACTTGCAGCGATATAGTCTAATAGGTCCCCGGCCCGGTGTATCCCGCCCGTTGTATGCGCGCGGAGGCCTTTCCTTATTTCCCGCGGCCAACCTTGAACCCTCTGTTTCTTGTGTCTAGGAAGTCGAAACTGTGCTATTTCTTATTATTCCATTTCTTATCACTCTCCGTCCAAATGAGCTCAATGTCTCGGGGCACTTTTCCTTAACTTTTCACAATTCTGAGCCTCGATTTCTTGCGAAGGTGTTTCTTGCGAGCAGGCCGGCACTGTACATGAATCATTGCTGTCGACGACGAACGCCGTAACTACATTACATCTACGCAAACGCTATCTATCTGCACGCCGTTTGACCGCTCTGCCGCACTGCCACGACCGATGAGTTCCCCGCCGACACCGTCCCTCTCCCCGTGTCGCCTACACCCACGTCGACCCTGAACGAACGTGGCAGCAGACATCCAGATCAGGCCGTCGGCGCGGCAATCGAGTCAGCAAGAGGAGCCCAAACGACGTTGCAGCAGCAGCAGCAGCAGCAGCCGTAGCGGTGATCGGAGCGGCGGCGGCGGTGGGGTTGTTTTTCTTGGCGTCTCCGGAGGTGGCGGTTTTCGCGAGCAATGGCGGCGGGGGGCGGATAGCGGGCATAGGAAAGAACGGCGGTGACGGCGGGCCAGCAGGAGCAGCAGTAGCAGCAGCAGCGGCGGCGGCGGCAGCAGTAGAAGCAGCAGCGGCGAAGCTCTTCGATACGGTGGTGATGGTTGACGCGGGCAGCAGCGGATGCCGCCTGAACGTGTACTGGTTGGACGGAGAGGTATGAGAGTTGCAGCACCGGGGGGTCGACAGATGGTGGCAGCATAGCGGCGGTGGCTGTGCGTGGCGCCGCTGGACTGGTGTTGATTGGGTGTCGATATGCAGCGGTGGCTGTTTTTATTGCTGTTGTGTGATAGTGGCTCCATAGTCTCAGTTGTGTCGTGGTCGAGGGTAGTTGTTGTTGTCGTTGTTGTCGTCGTTGTCGTCGTTGTGTTGCCATGCTTTTTTTTAATATATATTCGTGGCGTGTATGTTCTTTGTGGTTTGAGGGACGGGGGTTGTTGTCAGGTGCTGGAGGGAGAAGAGCGGTGTGAGCGCCGTCTTGTCCACGACACGCCTCTGGTGTTCGTGTGCCGAACGTGTTTTTTTTTTTTTGTTTATGGGAAACCAACAACAACAATTAGGTTCCGTGGTCATTTGCCGTGGTATTCACGGCCGCAAGATTGGACACACACGCGAAACATGAACAGCAACAGGGCCACCCCATCATACCGTTTTGGAGTTTTATCGCTACTAAAGCACGCAAGCGAACACGCTACGCGCTGTCTTCACCAAAAAACGTTTCTCCTTGTGCGCCTAAACTGATGACGCCCCGCCCCCCCTGCATCGGTGATCGGTCCTGTGGGAACAATGCTCCGTCCTCTCGAGGACGCGTGGTCAATGGTCTAACCGCTAGGGCATGCAAAACATAAGAGTACGCCCCCCCCCCCCCCTTGGCCCCGCGGCAACAATACTCCGTCCTCTCGAGGAAGTGTGGTCTAACCGCTACGGCATGCAAAACATGAGCACGTTCCCCCCACCCCCCCCACACGCACGCCCCCTCGAAGGGGCAATCCTTGAAGTTTTCGGGCGCCGCCGGGGGAAAGATAGAGCCCGGCCTCAGCTCCTTCGCGGCATCTCCGAAAGACGCGGCGGAATACATGCTGCCGCTGCTCGCCAAGGCCTCCGAGCTCGTGCCGCGGGAAAGGCACCCAGCGACGAAGGTATGCATGTACACTACTACTCCGACGGACGGTTGTCTCTGTTGTCCTCTTGCCATCGTCTGGAAGTAGAGTTTGTTTGCGAGGGCGAATCGAGCGCAAGGCTACGTCATTTACGCCAGCGTTGTTGTGTCCGCGGCCGGGAATCGAAATCAAGATTGGTTGTTTCCGCAAAGCGGCTGATGCGTCCGCTGCCGGTGGGAGTGCTTATTCACTTTCGAGATTCGAGGGTGACTACGGTTGCGTAACCCATGTCGTCTTTGTTTGAGGATGTGGTGGTTGAACGTATTGATGTTGTATTGTCGTTCAGTGTTGATGTATAATAGACGTTGCTCGAAGCTGTTGGTGTGCACCTTTAGAGCTCCCGTTGACTCTCACGAAGCCCACGTCATTTTTGCCCCAAGCAAAGAACAGTGGTCCAGCCATCGCCTTTCGGAATACCAACAAGCCCAACATATTCTGGGGATGCCAACCCGGGGGGAACGGGCGCAGACCTAGGTCGTTCTTACTTTTCAATACGACACATGCGGTGATCGATTACTCCACGAAGATTGATCGATAAATCCCGAAGCAGCAAACATCGACAACGACGACAATGACCAACGCTGATCGATCCGGCAACAGGTCTTGATCAAGTCAACAGCTGGCATGCGGCTGCTGCCCTTGGAGGTTCAAGAGGCCATCTACGACGAAGTTCACGCCGCCCTAGGTATGACGCTACATCTCCGCTCGAAGTTTGTGCACCATTTTTCCCAAGAGTGCCAACAAGGGGGGGACGCGAAATCCGTGCTTAGTGACCTCGGTTTTCCAATCGTGATTAATTTTCAAATCTTCCGGGTGCAGTAAGCGTCAGCTTTTTCCGTCTTCCGACATTATTAAATAGCATTTTTTTTTTTTTGAGCAGGTAAGCTACGTTGGTGCTTTTTCCCGTACATGAGTGCTTGCTTTATGCCGTGGTACGAGGTAGTGCACCGTTTATTTTGCGACAGGCTCTCCATTGGGATGCTTTCCCCCCGTAATTTGAGTGCTTTGCACCGCGATAGGTATCGCTCGTGCAAAGGAAACACGCAGGTTTGTCAGCGTGTTGCCCGCGAGTGTCTTTCCTGCATCGCGCGCGCGGTTGACAAAGTTGAAAGAACGTTTGTGTCTCAAGTGTTGGGTTTCGGCGTTGATGCCACGACAAGAACTTCAACAGCACATCGGTTGTAGCGAGCCGCCTTGCTGGTGCACACTCGAAGACGTTATAAGTTAGGATAGGCCTGTCTAATCGCTCACCTAGTGCAAAGCTTGCTTTTTTCGCACGGAGGAATCTGGTGATACTAGGAGCGGTGAGATGAGCTTGGCGACGCTACGAAAGTTCGAAACTAACGCCCCCCCCCCACCGCCACCCCCCCCTTCCCTCTGTCACTACGCCGTAACCCCTCCCTGCCAGTGGGAAACCCGTTGTTCCCTTTCGCCGTAGACCGCGGCGACGTCGGCACTCTCGACGGCGACATGGAGGCGTTTTACGCCGTTCTCTCCGCTAATTTCCTGGCGGGACGCATCGACGCGCTCATGCACCCTACGGGCCACGCTTCAGGGGAGATCGGCGCATTGGACATGGGTGAGGTTTGGGGACAGGGGGCGGACGGGGTGTACTCACAGCCGTGCATGGCGTAGTTGTGAGACCATTGATGTAACACCCACAAAGCCGGGTCGGAGCACGCCAGGTTTTTTACCTGACCAAGCTAGCACATCACCAAGCGCGAAGCGCCGTTGGCATTGGTTGGTCCCTCGCAGAAAGTCGACGGACAGCTAGCTTTCCGACCGGACGTTGATAATTTTGTCATGTTCTCTTTTTGGTTGATTTTCTTGTGTCCATGTCCCTGAAAGGTTAAGGCTGATCCTGTGTGTCTGTCGCCCAGCGCGCCAAACAGTCTCGTTTGTCTTAAACCCTACCCCCCTCCCATCTCTTGTACACATGACCTACAATTCACCCCTGCTGAACCACGTTTCACGCCAAGAAAAATACGAGAAACAAAGGATACTTATTCCAAAGTTTCTCATCATGCCCGAGGTGTGTGTGTATGCATCTGCGTTTTTGTTTTGTTTTTTTCAACAGCACCACCCACCCGACTGGTTTTGACACATGTATTTATCCCGCCGCTGTTGCTTGTTCCAGGCGGTGCGAGCACCCAGATAATCTTCCGACACAAGGCTGCTGGACGCCCGGAGCACGCCGACGAAGACGAGGCGGCAGAGAATGACGCTCGCAACGACCGTCCCTGCTACCACCAACAACCCTCCGCTGCCGTCGCCAACTACGACGGCAACACCAACACCACCACCACCACCACCACCACGTGTAGCCCACGAGGTAGTAGTAGTGTAGTGCCAACACGGGATAGGAACGGTACTTGTACCGTTCCAGAAGGGGAAGGGGGTTGCGCGGATGGGGAAGGGGGGAGGGGACCGGTGGACACCGTCCCCGTCTCCCGGGCCGACTTCTGGGGGGCTAGCCACCTGGGGTATGGCGTTGCTGAGGTGAGCTCATTTTTTGTTTCATGTACCACTTGTCACTTTTTGAAGTACTGCTCTTAGGCTGTATGTAGTCTACAAGATTTCGTTCCTATTTTCGTTCCCGTTGCCCAGCGATTACTATCTCTCTCTCTCTCTATCTCTCGCTCTCTTTTCCTTAGCCTCTCGTCACCTCCGTGTGCACGGAGAGGGAGCACGTACGCACGTACGTGCTTTCTATCGATGTGCGTCGGATCGAGCCTCTGTAACGTAGCTCGTTGCGGAGGTCCCAAGGTCCTCGAGAGGGTGGCCTCATCTTGAAGAACGTTAACACTCCCAGGAAAAACTCCAACAGCAGCAGTAGAAAAAAGGAAATTGTCATCGATCGTGTACTGCTGCTGTACCTGGTGCCTGTTCAGAATGTAACCGCCCTTCTGACACCGGACAACCCCCTCTGGCCCACACTCAAACAGGACGCGTCACTCCTCATATGTGTGTGTGTGTTTTTTTTTTTTTGCTCGGGCGTTCGTTACTCTTGCCTCGCTGTTTGGTCTCGCGCGCGTTAAGGTCCGGCTTAGAATGTGGGACTTGTTGGTGGAGACACCACCTGTGCCAGAGGGTGATGAACATGGGGACGTCGTCAACCCTTGTTCGTTCGTGGGCCGCGTTGATGAGTGGAAGGTGGGGGGTGCCGTGTGGTGCGCCTGCCCTACACACATGCCATCGTTGTCTGTTTTCTCGTGTGCACGTGTGCGCGTCGGCTTGTTTCGTTCTTCGACAGTGGGTGTATCCATGACGTACGTGCTTCGTTCAAGAGAGGAAGCATGTCCAGCTACTACAGTTAATATGCGCAAATCGAAGAAGTGATTTTGTCCGTTTCCGTCTCCTCGTGCACTCTTCGAGCGTATTTTTTTTGTGTCACGTTCCGTTTTTTTTTTTTCCAAGCGTCGTCGATCGTCCCAGGTGGTAGCTAACGTCCACGCTTGCGAGTTTCGATCAGACAACCCCGCGAGTTACCCCCCCCCCCCCCACCCCCGAAATAATCTTGGTTGTTTTTGTGTGGGAGGGTCGTCCTCTTATTGGGAGTGGGGACCACGTGGTTTGCGAAAAAATCGTGGCGGAAGTGCTGTGGGGTCGGGGTGGCGATGAGGAGGAGGAAAAAAGAGGTCTTTGTGGGATGGCGGCTGACCAGCCCCCGTGCGGGTGAGAATCGGGGGGGAGGGGGGGGGGGGGTACTCATAGCCGAGCATGCCGTAGTCGTTACACCATTGACCTCGCATCCCTACAAAGCCGGGACGGAGCACGCCGGGATTTGACCAGGCTCACATATCACCAAGTAGGAAGCACCGTGAGGTATTCGGCGAGTCGCATGGAGGGTGTGCTGCATCCTGCGAAGCGGAGGGGTGGGGGGGTACGCAGGACCATCACGGCTGCAGTCCTCAGGCCAAAGACCCGAATGGGAGATTTTGACATTTTTGAGGAAGCACGAAGGATAGGAGGTATATTTTTTCCAAAAATGTCTCTTTTTTACGGTGCTTCCCACTTCTTTTTTTTTTTCAATCGGCTCTGATAGCGGTAAGGTTCTTCGGTCCTCCCATCGTGTGGGTGGACATGTTGAGGAATGTTAAGTAGCCTTCGACGCGGGACTGTCAGGGTGACACCGAAATGGGGGCAGGGGGCGGTTGCTTGATGCAGGCATGTCTTCCTGAGAAATATTTTTCGACAAACTCCTATGCTGCTGCCGCTGCTTCTGCTGGGCCGTTCGCGGCGCTCGTCGATCATTCCTTCGCCTTGGAGCACCCAATCTAACCGGGCAGGCGATCCGGACGAACCATCGCCCGCCACCCCCAACTCAAAACGAGCCACCCCCGAGCGTGCGTGCGACCCGAACCTAAACCATCTTCCTTAGCACTAAACTCTCCTGCCATGTTCTGCGGCGGCGGTAGGATCGGCGGGGTGAGCATGCCGGCCCTGAACGGAGACTTCCTGGCCATGTCGGTCTTCTTCTACGCGATGCACTGCCTGCACGCGCTAGGACCGGCGGAGCTGGCGGCCTGGCCGAGGCCCACCCTGTTCGAGCTGCGAGACGCAGCACGGGGATTCTGCGGAATGGAATGGAGGGCCCTGCAAAGCCGGAAGGTGCGCAAAAGGTGGTTTTGGTGTTGTTGTTGTTGTGGTTGGGTTGCTTTTGGTTGCTTTGCTTTTGGTTGCTTTCGTCGGAGGTCTCGCTGTGTGTTGCCTGCACCCACGCGGCGGTTACGCTTGGGCGTTTCTGATGGCGTTTTTGCTTGTCGTCAGTACAGTTCTGCAGAATGGAGTGGGGGCCCCCGCGGGACCGGAAGGTGTGGTATAGGTGATTGTTTTGTTGTTGTGTTTGCTTTGCTCCTCGGCTCTGTCTTGGGTTTTGCCGTGTGTTATGGATGGGCTTTGTTGTTGCTGGTGCCGTGGTGGGATGGCGGTGTGGTTTTTGCTTCTGGGTGGTGCGTTGCCCGCACGCACGCGACAGTTACGCTTCGTGCAGTTGCTGGTGGTCAGTAAAGTTGCTCCCCCGCATTTCATGGCAGCAACCCTCCTCCCGCTCCCCGGCCAGCAACTTTTCGAATGATTTTTCCAACGATCCTATCAGGGCTTAAACACGCTCCATCTCAGGACCTCGAGACAAGGCCTCCCTCACACGGTCTCGTTGGATTCTTTTTTTTCTTGTCATCAGAACAAAAAATCAAAATTCACGCCCGGCTCGCCTCGATTCTTCCTGTGCTCATTGCGCAACAGGAACAAGAGTCAAAATCCCCCTGGCACGCCCTGATCCCGCACAGGAGTATTATTTGCGCAACAGGGACAAAAAACCACCCCGGGACCAAAAACAAAATATTTTGCGCAACAGGAACAAAGAATCACCCCGCCCGCCCCCGCGCGCCGTGATTGATTCCCGACGTGTTTGTTGCGCAACAGGACGCTGTCAGCGCTCAAGACGTGCTTTTCAGCACCTCCGAAGAGGGCCTGCCCCACCGGTGCGTGGAGGTTGTGTACATGACCACGCTCCTCCGGGATGGATACGGTTTTCCGGAACACTCGCGGAACGTTGCCTACGCGCTGGAGGCGGGCGGGATGGAGGTGAGGGGAAGGGTCTCACACAGCAGTTGCTGCTGCTGCTGTCGAGGAGCCCCGCAGACTAAAAAACGGTGTCGATGTGTAGCTTTGGTTGTCCAGCTAGGTGTTATGTAAAAATGGCGTTTTTTCATTGCGTGGACTGACGACTTCAAATTGTCCGGGCGCTTGGTGTGGTCGATGCCAATCAAAGATTCACACACATACACACACACACACGTGCAGGGCGTTTGTTGTTGTGCCTTGCTCCTTTTTCGAGTGTTCGGTATCCGGAGGCTGAGACGTCCCGTGGCTTCCCGACCCCAACCACCCCCCGCCCGTCGGGGGACTCCGTGGATTTGCAAGTGTTTCATCGTTTTTTTTCCCTGCCACTATATGTCATTCTGTCGTTTCTTCATTGGCAAGGCTAATGGCACGGCAGTCGAAACATACCAACGAAGCACGCACCATAAGCATCTGGTGCAGGTGCAGGATTGCACCCCCCTCGTATACACCTGAGGATTGCCAAACCGGGCTGTGGGGTGCTTTGTGCCTATATTCGGTTTCCACATGCTCGGTGGCAATAATCCCTTGGCATAAGATACTTTCAGTTAAGGAAGCCGCTTTCAGAAAACAATAAGAGAGAGGGTCGCTTCTTGTACTACTGTAGGAAGAAAACTCGTTTGCATTGCAAAGGCGAACCTCTCTCATGTCACTACTGTACATCTCGCGGTATTTGCAGACAAAAATTCGACCGTAATATCGTTTTATTTTTGCGACACCCCCTTTTTCGTCAGGGCCTTAAACAAGACAGTAAGCTGGTCTGAGTGATTTCCCCCCTTTCGTCCTGCACTGCTTTCCTTGAACAATGTTAGTTGTTTCTGCTCCCGCTCGCTGCTGTTAGGGAGTTTAACACATGCCTTTCGACTGTCGTAATATCTCGAACGAGTAGCGTATCTTTGACTCTAGGTATACGTTCGAAAAATAAATTGGTGAAAGTTGATTGTGTTTCGCCGTGAAGTCATCATGTCCTTTTCTTTTTTTGCGGCTCATCTGAAACCACCTTCCCTCAAATTCCCACCTTGTGTCCCGCGCGCTTGGCTTGTTGTTTATTTCCAGCTCGAATGGACCCTAGGGTATGCCCTCGCTGAACTCTCTCGCGTGAGAGAAGGTGGAGAGGCGTCTCCCGAGGTGGACGACGACGCGGCGCGGTTCGGGTTGGGGGGATACGCAGAAGGCAACGCCTCAGTTGGTGGGGGTGGGTGTGCTCCCGTCGGTGCCGACACCGGCACTAGCTGCTGTGCCAGCGGCATCGGGTGCATCAGCAGCAGCATCGCAACCAGCTGTGGCGACGGCAGCACTTGTGGCGGCGGCGTCGGCGGTGGTGGTAGGGTGGCCAATAATCACACGGAGCCCCGCGGTAGAGGGAATATCAAGAGCCTTCTCGAGGTGGCGGCGGCGGTGGTGTCTGCCGCCGGCTGGAATTGGAGGACGTTTTGGAACCAAGAAGAAAACGGTGATGCCGCCGCCGCCGCTGTCTCCAGCGGGAGATAAAAGAGGAGGCTGCTGCTGCTGCTGCTGCTGCTTTTGCTGCGCCAGAGAGAAAGGGGCGACCGCACAACGTTCCAAGCGCCGAGGCTGTTGTTGCTTTTGTTGTCTCGTTTGCAGGGCGATTCTCCGGCGGCAGTTTCTTCGTCTACTGAGAGGAATTCGTAGCACTAGGTCCTGAAGGGCACAATGCTTGATTGGTAGGGGAAGATGGACAATCTACACCTTCGTCGGGACGTCTGGGGGTGATGCGACCTCCGCGTACGTCTGTCTCCGCGTGCAAAACCCGCCCTGGAAGGGAAAAATGTTTTTCTCTCCTACATAGAACTCTCCCGCTCAAAGCGACCCCTGTTCCGAAAGGCGTGTTTGTGCGCGTGTAGAAGAGACGGTGCATAAGCGTGTGGGTAGAGCTAACGCTAGGGCCAGGGGACGTTCGTTCGGATTCCTGGGACAGACATCACAGGCTAAGACATGTGACCAAATTGTGTTGGAAGGAAGAATTCGTTCGGCGTTGTTAGGTTTCAGCTGGTCCCTGCGCGCAATAAAAAGCGGCAAGAGAGGGAACACCGACCCCATGCGACGCGGTAGTCGTAGACTAGATTGTGTGTGTTTTGTGCCAAGACGAAAGCTTATCGTTCTTTGTGTTCGCTACTACGATAGAAGGACTAGGTTTGACGGCGGGTCTCGTCCTTCTTTTGGTACACGTTGTTGGCTTGTTCTCGGCAAATGGCTGGGGCGATATAGAGACATGGTGTTTTTGTTGAGGTCGGAGACAGTCGCAACCGTTGATAATTCCGGCATTGCCGTCTTGTCGTTTCAGGTCAAACAGTCCACTTGCTCCGTAGAGTAGAACATACTTTTAATATGCGCTTTTTGTTGCTTCTTTGTTGTGAGGTGGCGTGTTTTTTTACGGGAGGGGGGAGGGAATACCGGTTGATCGATCGCAATTTTGATGGAAGCCCCGTGGTCTCCTTTCCTTTTTGAGTGAAGGAATGATGTGTGTGCATTGTTCCATCATTACATCACTCACGGAGTAAAAAAAGACTTAAGACTTCCATTTATTTCTCGCAATTTTTTAGATACATGTACAGTAGTAGAGCGTGAGGGTAGTATCGGCGGTTAAAGCAAACGTTGATGACTCCATTTATTTCTCGCAATTTTTTAGATACATGTACAGTAGTAGAGCGTGAGGGTGGTATCGGCGGTTCAAGCAAACGTTGATGATATTGTCGTGGTTGCTCTGTATGAAACAATTTACGGGTGTCGTCGTTGTTGTGGTTGTGCCATGATGGCCGATGTTTGGGAGGGAGAAAGATGGAACAGAGGTTTGTATCTCGCTTCTGAAGCAGGTGTTTCTGGTAGTTCGCTCTTTTTTTCTCTGCCAATAGCAGCTGTTTTGTTTTTTTTCTGTCCATCCGCCCTATTCCTTGGAATTTGCGCGCAAAGATGGATGGAACTTTTCTCACACCACTGTCTCTCTGTCGGTAAAAATGTCGAAATGGTGCTACCGTTTCATTTAGGTCTGGTTGTGCACGTATTAATAGCATTGGTAGAGAGTTGTCGTTGCTGTTGCTGTTGCTGGGTGCCAGGGCTGCGTTGTCTGTGGACGGTGATATTATTAAAGGGTACCATAAACAAGCCCATACGCCTAGCGAGAAATGCGGACCTTTTTCCACTGTGGAACGATTGTTTTACTTGTCTTCTTTCCAAGGGGAGGAGCAGTATGGTTGTGAGTGTTTACGGTTGTAGCACCAACGAATCAATCCGTGCTGGTGTTTGACGATGGCACTAGTTCTGGTATCAATCCGTGCTGGTGTTTGACGATGGCACTAGTTCTGGTATCAATCCGTGCTGGTGTTTGACGATGGCACTAGTTCTGGTATCAATCCGTGCTGGTGTTTGACGATGGCACTAGTTACAAAATCAGTCGCGTTGTCTCCTTTTTTTTTCGTCGTGTGCGTGTTTCTGGCGTGCCGTATCCCGGCAAGCTCGTCATCTCCTGTTCCGGTGGAATGGATCATGGGGGGACAGCGACGGGGGGCAGCAACAAAATGCACTGATAGTACACCCATCTGAAGCCGATCTTTTCGTTTTGTGTGCCCGAACTCCTATTATGTGTCATTCAACCTCGTATGGCTTGTATCGTAGCCCCTGAGTCGCCCCTTCGCACGCTGAAACGTCGTTCGTAGCGTCAGGTTTCGCGCCCCGGTCTTTTGCGGGGAGAAGGCGCTATATGGATGGGGTCTGGCACTATATGGATGGGGTCTACCCCAGGCACTGTATCGGGTCTGGCCGAGTGGCGTGATGGCTTGGATTTTTTGGGGGTATTTTTCTGAAAATGTTGCTTGTGGAAGACAGGCTAAAATAGTACAAACAAACGAACAGGTCCAACTCATTGGGGGAGGGGGGCAGGGTGAGATCCGCAAGCTTTTCGCTGAAACTAGAGGGGGAAGGAGCTATCTCCGAAGATTCCGTGCCTTGCACGGTAGCGCCAGCTGCTAGAGCTAGGCGGGCTCACGGCAGTCTCTAGGCCCGGAGCGGCGTGTGTGGGTGGCGACCGGCGAAGAAGCCGAATCAGGGTATAGCCTGATCACCCTCAGCAGGGCGTATCATCCAGCGAAAAGACTACCAGAACAGACCAACATGAACAGAAAAACGTGGTATGCATGCGGTACAAGCCCACACGCTGCCAACAGTGCTCCTGCCGTCATGATTGGTGTTGTACGGCGGGCCCGGCGATTCATTGCAGGAACAGGCGCTCGTTGATGCCTGGTCTTTTAGCTCTAGTTTTACCGCCAGGAGCATGGTAGAGAAAGGGAGGACCATCTCCGACTATTCCTCCTATGCATCACCTGTTGGATTCGGGATGTTTTTTAACCCAAAGTGCCGTCGGCTAACGTGATTTTCAGAGCCCTCGCCCGGGCATGCCCGTCCTATCAATACAAGCTCCAAACCAAGCACAACAGTGGTTATGCCGCACTGAAACATCCTGCGGTATGCCAATACTCCGTTGGTATCGCAGCTTGCCTCGGGCAACCGTGCTGGTCCTCTACGATTTTTTTTTTTTTGAGAGGTGGTATCTCGTTTCCACTGGGCGTTGAAAACGCGGAATAATACGGACAGGGAGGCAACTATACGCACAAGCAAATTGGTCGAGATCTACCTACTGTTTTCCAATCCTGTACCATCACGCCAATTTGGTCCATCCCATATCGCCAATCATACAACACCCCCCTTCCCCCCGTTAGCCGTTCAACCGCTTGGAAACCCCGCAATAAAAACAGTGACCGCTCCGGAGAGGGCTCACGAGAGCACAGCAGTGTCATCAAGGGGTGAAGCAAGATGAAACTAAAAAGCAGGCAGCAGGGCTAGCCCACAGCAGGCTACCAGTTGCCAGTTGATTGTTGCGACTTTTTTTTCCCAAGCTGACGTGTTTTGACTCGACGAACCCAGCAAACCTCAACGAACTCAAAACAAATAGTGCTACAAATCTGTACTCAAACTGACAGGACAGCACACAGACCGTTTCACGCACCGCCGAAACAATGGTACCCAAGACAGGATAACACAGCACCAACACTAGATAACCCCCCCTCCCCAAACACGCAACTCCACTCCCCGTGGTAACATATTACAGGCCAACGTGAACCCAGAACGTACGACGACTCCCAGATCAAATCCTACGGCGACATCAGCACCAACCTCCCTAAATATTAACAAACACGGTGATACTTGTGTTAGAAGCCAAAATGCTTTGTGTGTCGCATGCGCTTGTGCCATACGGATGGCTGGAGGCTGGTGTGTGTGCGCAATGATAAGCTAATTTCTCCCACAAAGCACCGGCGCAGCAAGCGACTACGCACACCACCGGCGCGGGCTTGACTGTCCGACGCACAAGGTACCGCAACAACGGATCCCCAACCAAAATATACACGGTACGTGTGTGCAAGCGCACAGAAAACACACACAGGAACACAGTAGACACGGCAGCTGATATGCCCCCTTGCCACAGGCCAGAGCCACCGTCAATGGAAAACTTGGACGGTTTGTGCTTTTTTCGAGTGGCGAACCCAAGAACTGCAACAAGGAACCAAGGAACTCACCAAACGGATGTAAGTAAGACATCCAACAGAATCAGCCTTCTACAGGTTATTGCAGGAATACCAGACGATCGGTAAGAAGAAGGCGGAAGGTAGGTCCGGGATGAAACACGCATTGTACAAGCATTAAAGCTAGAATTCCCCAAACACAAGGAAAATGCTCGGCATTGGTTGTGCAGAAGCAGTCCGTGTTGGAGACAGACGCATATTCCAAGACTAAAACACTCCGTCTCAGCCCAAACCAGCGGCTACCCGGCAAGATTTTGAAATACCCTATTAAGTGTCAAGCAAACACCGACGACCCAATGGAAAAGGAAAAGGAACGACTTTGGTGCAACTTAGGAGTAGAGGTCACCTACAAGGCTGGTTTACTCATCTGCCGCCAGGTGACCTGCACGAACAACCACTCCTGTTACGCCTGCGTGTCCCCCACGCGCGACAGCCGGTAACTCGCGAACCCTTTCCTCATCGCGATCCTCCTCTCTCCGCGCCTCGTCACGTCCACGTCGTCGTCGTCGTCTTCATCGTCCAGCCGTGCCATCCTCGCGTTGTACCTGGCCACGAAGCACGCCCCGAACACCAGGGCCACGGCCATCCCGCCGATGATGCTCGTGCCCAGGATGATGTCCCGCTTCTCGTTGTCGCTGAGCCCGGTGCCAAACACGAAATCCTCGTCGCCGTCACCGCTGGCGTCCCCCCCATCGGCAGAAGCGTCGCCGTCTTCGCCGGGAGAGGGTGAGGTGGGCGTTGTGCCGGCATCGGAGGGGTACACCTCTCCCCCCGCCCCCGCCGGCGCTGCCGTCGGCGCCGGCGTGCTCTCGACAGGGCTCTCTGATGAAAATTCTCCTCCTGTGGCCTGAGGAGCCGGGCTCATGGCGGTCGTCGGTTGGACCACCGCCGGCGTTCTAGTGGCCGCCGCCGCCGCGGTCCCCGGGACGGGGGTTTCCTGCGCAGCTGGCGTCGGCGTTGCTCCCGGCGCCGTCGGTGTAGGGGTGATCGGTGCGATCGTTACCGCTGTCGCTGCTGTGGTCGGGGCCGGTGTCCGCCCGGCAGTGACCCGCACAGTCGGTGTTGGAGTCACGGCACTCGCGTTTGGTTGCGGGGTAGCCGACGCCACCGCCGGTCCGGCGGTCACCTCTGCCGCCGCGATCGGTGCTGGTGTCTCCACCGCAGGACGCGTCGGCGCCGTCGTCTCGACAGGAGCTTCCATCCTTTGCGCAGTGGGTGACGGTGTCGCTGTTGGTGTGGTGACCGGTGCGACGGAAGTGACGACTGCTGCAGAGGTCGGGGGTGGAGCTAGGGTGTAGGGCATGGTAGGACTTGGTGTCGGGCCCTTAGACTCCGCCGTTCTCCTTGATGCCTTCGACCGACCAACGGCGGCGGCGGCGGCGGCGGCGACGTCCCCTGCAGATAAGGGCCCGGCACTCTCGCCGCGGCTGCCTCTGACTTCTTCTCTCACCATAGGCATGGAACCAACGCTTTTGCCACCACGGCCGCTAGCTTCCCCAACAACGGTGAAGAACCCTTCCCCCCTACCATCGACGACGTGATGGTGGCGATGTTGGACATCTTCGGACCAGTCTGATGCAACAGCGGAGGCTACCACAGCCACGCGAACAAGGGTCGCCGAGATTCTACGGCGAGGCATTGTTTTTCTCGCCATCCGCCGCCTGCAACCCGCCTGCGCGCCAGGACCTTCTCCACAACAGAAACTATTTTTGGTGATGTGGTGCTGCAAAAACGCTTGTCTGGGCGACGACGGGGATGTTGCTATCGCCTAGCTTTCTGCGAGTCTTCCGCGGTGTCGGCGCTTTGTACTAGTTGCGAGGCAGGCTTGTGCGACTCCTCGTAGTCACGCCCTCGTGTCCCGGAACGTATGACAATGCCTACAGGCACCTGATCCTTAGGTTCAAACAACTATCCACAGTAGGCTGTCTCCTCTAGCCACGTCGTTCCACAGACACCCCTGGTCTGTTTCAGATGTTTTGACAGGTGTGTGCATCGTGAGGGGAAATGGTTCGTGAGTTGAGTGCCATAGGCTTGACTATACCTCAGCCGCATCTTTGCGAGGTTTGGGGCTCGTGCTTTGTCCAGACCTACGGCTCGAGTTCGTCCTCAACATACGCGCTGGCGCATTGCTTCATATCTGTGTCGTTAAGCACGTCTACGAAAACGTACACATCACCGGGTGCCTGGGCATTCTACACTGCTGTTGTTGGTCCCTCTCAAGCAACTTGCACGGCGGTGACCTCAATCAACAAGATGAGCTGCAGACGGACGTTCCTAAAAAGAGTCTAAGGAGTCCCAAGTGTTTTTCACCAGGGGCTGCGTCCATCCCCAACCACAAACCCCTCGACCAGTTGTGGCCTGCAGTTCAACCTATGATAGGGCGAGGAGGCTACGAAAGTATTGTGGTGCACAACGCACTTTGTACCGACTGCGATTTCAAACTGCTACAAATCCCCCGAATTGGCCCGTTCGGATGATTTTTTTGGTGTGCACTCACCGACGGCAAGGTATGCCTGTCTGTACGTCGCTTTTCTCGTACAACTCGCCTCACAACGGTCTTCTTTCAGCCCTCCCTCCCACACGAAAGAATAGGGACAAGCCAGCTATGTAGCGTGGACAAAAGCAAGTGTGTGTGAACTGTAGGAACCGTGAACGTTTGAATTTGTGAAGTCGTTTGATGTTTGATTGCACCGCAATAGTTCTCCAGTTCCCCCGAAAAGGCACCAACGTCTCATCAAGTCCCACCGCACGGACGGCACGGACGACACGCTCATTGACTCGCTACGAAAACTCAAAAGAGGCGAAGGACGAATGTCATAATGAGTGAAAGGCTGGGCTGTTTTTGGAGGCTGTGTGTATCTGTGTGTACGTGTTGGGGTAAAGGTATGAGTTTGGACAGTAAGTATCATGGTATGGGTGTGTTGGCCATAGGATGTATCTGGGATCCATGGGGAGAATTTCTATGTGTAGATTCGATCCCCATGTTTTCAATACAAGATTCATTCGAGAACCCAATGGTGTGATTTCGGGGAGACCACTGGGAAACACGGATCTCCACGTGCATGTCACGTGCTGGTATGAGCGAGCGAGCCAAGTCCCCCCTCGCTCTCTTTCTGAACCTTCTCTCCATGCGCAAGAATCAACGGGAGAATACACTTCCTGCCCCACCCAGTACATATGGTCGCCCCGGTGGTCTAGTGGGTAACCCTCGCAGCCTACTAAGGGCCAGGTCATGGGTTCGCGTCCCGGCAAAGTGAGTCCTTTTCTCACTGAATAAATCCTGGTCTAAGTTGGAAGCGACGCGCTGCAAAGCTCGTGAGTAAACCAGATCGACTTCATAAGCCGCGAGGGAAGGGATTGCTGTACCCTTCTCGCGATAAAAACATCTCAGGCAGGAACCGCAGGAGGGTGTCCAACCCCCCCCTTATATGTGACCCCGGTTGGGTCGTCTAGCTAGTAGAAGTGGAGGATGGGGGCCAGAGGAGCAGACGACCGAGTCCAATGATGGGAGAAAAAAAAATATATATATGTATATATATTCTAGCGGGTTAAATAACCACGACCGACCTTGATCTCTGATCTTTAGGCAAGGAGGCCTCTACACGGAAGGAGTCTAAGTCATGAGTACAGGGCAGTGAATGCAATCTAATCGTGTATCGAACGTGTGGGAATGTCCGCTGTCATCATTTGTTTTAACCAAACACACCAAGTCTAAATACAAGCATGGACACGGCAGCTCGATTTCCATCCCCGTTGCCAACGCGGAAGAAGAAAGTGTCAATCAAATACACGCAGTAGAGGGCCATCAATAACGCCGGTATGTGCCCGGCGAATCGACAGGCGCTACTAGTCAGAGGGGCCGGCGCTATCCAAGGTACAGAGTGACTTGGTGGTTTAGTAGCGCGTGCCCAGCATTTCCACCGGCGCTATACCGGCGTTACTCATCCGGCGTTGTTGAGGGCACACCGCTGTAATTCATTCAGGGAGCTCGATCCGTCCTCGTTGCCAACGCTGAAGAAAAAATAGTCGATGCAAGAGGGCAGCTATTATAATAGTCAACTCAAGAGGGCAGCTCGATCTCTCCCCTCGTCATGCCCAGCAGGGTGTCCAGAACCTTGTCTCCGTCCTCTCTCAAGCCGGAGTGCTGGTAGCGGTTCGTTACCCAGATCTTGCAGTCCGGCATGATCCTGGAGGTCTCGTCCGAAAACTCTCGCTCCACGTAGCTGTTCAGGAAAAAGAGAAGAGCAAGCAGAAGAAAACAACGACGCGGGTTTAGAGAGAAAAGGTTTTGTGGCACACAATTCGCTGATTGGTCAACGCACCTGCGGCGAAATTTGACTAAATATATAATATAGGCTTGGAGTTAATGCTGTGGGTTGAATGATTTCCCTTCACGACTTGGTGTTTCGTGACGGTGATGATGATGTCGTCACAATGACGCTGACAATGGCAGCTTTTCACTACAGGAAAATTGTTTCTTGAGTATTTGGTTGTAATTTTATGGCCGGTGGTGGTGGTGATGCACGACACAAAAGAATTAACGGGGCTGGGTCTTCCCGTGGTGACCAAAGACCCAGACCGTAACAAATCCCCGCCGAATACGGATCGGCTCTGTCCCTCTACGTAACCGCCACGCTCATTCCGTTCACCGGCATCCCCCCATATAAATCCCGCGACTCACATGTCGTCGTAGTACACCGCGGCGGCGCAGGGAACGTCGCACTTTTCTAGGGCGCTGCGGTCGTACAGTGCCGGCCATCCCTCTTTACTCGCCAGAAGTTCCGCCGCATCTTTCAACCCGAACAGGCACGAGTACGGCCCGTCGAACATCCATCGGTAGATCATCTCCGCTGCAAGAAAAATATAAGGGCAAAGGGAGTCCGTGGTGGGGGTACGGTAGCGTATTGGGGCGGGTGTTATCTAACGCACTCATTATTGCGTTTCCTTTGGTCGAGACTGGTACCACTTACTTCGGCTTTTTTTGTATTTTGAGACGGAATCCTGTCTGCTTTATTCTGTCTCCATACCGAGCATCATTTAAACGTAAGTATTGGACGGGATGAGGCCTCCCGCTGCGCCGGCCCTGTGGTCCCCCCGCCGATACCTAGTTGCCTCCATCGAATCTTACCTACACTTGGGGGGACCACCGATACGGGCCGTTGCGGTCCGAACCCGGAACGTTTCGTACCGGCCTCAAAGCTAAAACGGACAACAGCGAAGACAGGAATGCCAACCGAAACAAGGAAACAAGACGACCCAGCTTTCTCACCGACCATGTAGGCAGGCCGTGCGCTTCCTTCCTCCAGAGCGCCCTCCCAGTCGAACAACGAAGCCACCTGACAAGAAAAAAAAAAAAAGGGGCGCGAAAATGGCTTTCACATTTTGGGAGATAATGTAGCAGGGGGGGAACGAGAGAGTATTATATAGTCATGCAATGAAGGAGGGGCAATCACCAAATAGTAATGGTGCTCCGAAGCAATGATATTCATAGGGGTAAAAACTGCAAGGTATCACGTAGACGCGACAAGTCTCCGCCGTTGTTGTTGTTTTTTCTTTAACGTGCGGGAAGATTAACATTTCTTAGTATTGTGGTGTTGTGCTTGGCGATCCGAGAGGACGCGATGGTAGATCGAGCGTTTACATCCGTGAGGGGAAGCGAAAACAACAACGGCAAGTTAGAACACGGTTCTCGAATGGCGCCTTGCCCAACCCGACCACCGGGCTCACTGCCATCAGCATCAGCATCACCAACAACAACAACTACAACAGTTACTAACATCACACCAAAAGCAACGACGATAACAACAATAGTTAACAACAACGCCACAGCACCAACAGCAAACAAAAAAAAAACAAAAAAAAATCGCGACTTGCCTCGGGGTCTTGGGCAAGCACACGCTCGGCCGACCAGCCGGACGGGCCCTCCACCCCGTCACCGGAGAGGTAGATGGACTCGTGCATGATCGCGTAGATGGGGTTAGTATCGTAGGACTGTCGGTTTTCGACCTGGTGAGGCGTTTAGACAGGACGGGGGGAGGGGGCGACATCGAAACGTAGAAATTAGAAAAACGAGAGAGAGAGAGAGACGAGAGCGAGATGAGAGAGAGGGGGGTAATAAGCACGTGCGGCGCCCGCTAATATCTCTCGAATCAACGGCGACTACAAGTGTGCGCGGGTGGTTGGGGTGGGGGCGACGGCATCAAGACGTGGAACACAGAACACGAGAGGGGGGAGGGGTGAAGCACGTGCTGCGACCGCCCTATCTTTCGAATCAGCGACGAGCAGAACTATGTTCGGCGTTCGTGAGTGTGGGGCGGTCGGGTCTCGACGCGAGTAGATGAGGCATCGGGGACAAAGATGGGGGCGATGGTGGCAGCGGGGGTACAGCAATCAGGAGAGGAGGCCGTGAAGCACGGTAGGTACCGTTTTCAGTACCCTTCGCGCAGGATTTTTCTATGAAGTAAACATGTTGGATAAAGAACGCAATCGGGGAAGTTGGGTTAGGGTAAGGGAATAGAGTCTGCGTACCCCCTTCCTCCCCTGTTCTATGTCCTCACAAAACTTGTTGATCTCGCGAAGTCGGTCCACCTTTTTTCGTCGTGCAAAGCAGCGGCCAGAAACAGTTTCTTCCATTCACACCCACGGTTGAAGCTACGATACATGGCATATGCAAGGATCAAAACTGCTACCTACAGCAGTCGTCGTCAAAGAACACCATTCGCGAAAAGAGGGCAGCCTTACACACAGCAAAACGAACCCCGTCACAGACGGCACAAAAAATATCGCAAAAATCATGAACTCTTACAGTACTGTACCCACAAAAAAAATGCTGGAAAGTCATTCGCCTACCTCACGGAGAAACGAGAACGACAGTTCTCCTCTGGCATCGAAAGCGTTTTCCAGCAGGTAGTGGAGGCTCTCGAAGCCCCCCCCTCCTCCCAGGGCCAAGCCCAGCTGCAGGAACCTCCCCGGCGTCAAGACACCTCCGGCGGGGAGTTCGACGTCTCGGTCGCGCACGTGCCTGAGGATGGTCTTCACCTGATTTCCGGGGTACGTAGGCTATTGTTATTGTTATTGTTGTTGTTGTTGCTGTTGTTGTCGCTGTTGTTGTTGTTGTTGGTACTGTTGTTGGTGCTGGCGGCGGTGGTGTTGGTGTTGGTGTTGTTGTTGGCAGAAGGGTCGAAGGAACGTTGACGCCACAAAGGTTGCTGTCATGGTTTTCGTGGATTGTCGTTGTTGGGGTCGTTGATGGGGCTGTTGTTGTTGTTGTTGTTGTAGCTTCTGCTGCTAGTGCTGCTGCTGCTGTGTCCTTGTCATCGTTAGAACCTCGCCGTGACCTCCACCGACTACCCTGCACCAACCAAACAAAAACCCGCAGAGATCGATCCCGCCAGCAAGTGACGATATTCCGTGGTATTGGTCACAGGCTACAACGAGCAACAAGGAACAAGGAACCGTGGGCGCGGGGCCCCGCAGGTTGGACCCTCCTTCCACCAACACGGCTTGACTCGAGGTCGCGGCTGGTGATTGCCGAACCTTGGAAGAGCTGGAGCTGCTGCTGCTACTGCTGCTGCATTCTCGGGTTGTCGGACAAATCCCACCAACACTACTTGAGCCGAGTCCAACACGGCTTGACTCGAGGTCGCGGCTTGTGATTGCCAAGCCTTGAAGAAGAGGCTGGAGCTGCTACTGCTGATGCTCGTGGGTGGTCGGACAAACTAAACAACCCCGTTCGGGAATCGATCGGGAGGCCGAGATTGCCGTGGCGCGTCCGTCCGATCCGCGCTGGGCTGGCTCACTTGCGCCTGCCTCACCTTGTCGACGTCCCCCGGGTACCGCTTGTAGAAACGACTATTTCTCTCGGCCACCCTGCGGTAGGTGGCTCGGTACACCTGTGGAGGAGCAACCAAGAAAAAAAAAATCAAATGTTTCAATACATGGATACATGAACGTATACCACTCAGGAAAATTGAAGGTATTAAATGTATATAATGGTTGTTATTTTTGGAAGACATGTAAGCAAACAAAAGCGACGATATTTTACACAAAAGCATGCCTGCTTGTTGTGTAGCGATGTCAGTGTTGTCGGGGGGGAAAAATGGTAAAACCATGCAGCTTCCCAAGCAAGAGAAGATGCGACACGACCACCGCATGCCATCAAGGTTGGTTGCTCTTGTAACTCTTGAAACGCATGAAGCGTGGGGTGGGAGAGCGACGCCACGTGCGCATATACGTACCGCCTGCCATGTGTTGGGGAACATAGAACCTTTTGTTTCTTGTCCTGTGCCCACCCACCTCGTTAGGCATGAGTTCTACTGCGAGCAAGCAGCCCGACAGCACGTACAAATTACGAACAAACAAACCTTAGAATATGTGCTTCTTCATGCCCTGCCCTCGCCACCCCATCACAACAACGAAAAGAGGAAACAGACGATCCAAGCGCCCCTCAGGGAATTCCTTACACATCGCCGCCTACCCCAGGTGTTGAAAAAAACAACCATATTTTCTTTAAGCTTTACAGTACCTCGTCAGGCGTCCTTCCCACGGGAGGAAGTCCCCCGGTAAAGAGGCCGGCGCTCAGCGAGCCCGGGTGCTTGGAGAGGTACGTGAGCAGGCAGAAGCCCCCGAAGGACTGCCCCAACACGGTCCACTTTGCGTCCCCCCCGGCTAGTTCGCGCCGCACCTGTGCGCACGCGACGGTGCCGCCGTGCCAAACATTCAGTTTGTGTGTATTTCGTTGTTTTCATTCACCTTACGTACGAGTGCGGTTTTACCCCCCTCAACTAGTATCGATTACGACCGTGATTCGACGTATGTATGTCTTGCGCTTGCGAACGGTTGGCGTCGTGGTTTGGTAGTTGCAAGCCACCATCGTGTCGACGTTCGGTTGCACAGAGTCCACGGCTGACTCGCGCCTTACCCCCGTCCAAACCTCCGATAGAAACACCGTACCACGTTTGTACCACGTTTGTACTGGCCAAGAAAAAAACGCGTTTCGCAAACCTACTTGTCACGTGACGGTTGCCGGAAAGGCTCACGCTCGCCTCGCCTGCGACAACACAACCCGCCGCAGGCCAACACGAGGTTGCGTGTTTGTCTGCTGTCTGCATACAACATAAAAAAAAACGTTCCGGTCTCTGCTCTGTAACTTCTAACATCACGGAACGATTTTTTTTTCTTTGTTAAGGAAGGAGGGGTGCATTGATTGGTCTTTGATTTGACTCGTCCCGTGCAACCACCCACCAGGCATCCGTCCCGCTAAAATCACGGGAGCTGCACCCAATTTCCGTGAACCTCGTCCCGCAATTTCTGCGGCATGACGTTCTTCCCCACTAAGGTCCTATCCAACATTTGATTCAACCATAACTTTAACGCTACCGTGTCCACACAACAAACGAAAGAAAGTGTATGCTGCATTTCGACGCCTGCTTTTGGTTTACCGCTTCGCAGTCTTCGACGATGGAGTCCGCGCGGAAATTTTCCAGAAATTTCGCCTGCGTCTCGGGGCCGTCCATCTGTCAATAGTGGCAGTAGCAGCAGCGGCGGCGTAGCAACAACAACAAATTTCAAGAGCTTATCAACAGACGATCGGCAAGAACTCATCATCAACGACAACGCCAACAGCAACAACAACGAAATAAACAACGATGTAGAACAAACACAAAGAGCACCATGTTGTTGTACTACAGGCGCGGAAGAAATTTGGTGTCCATTGGTCTCGTCGTAAGGCAACGCATCGTAGTCAGTACTCATCCCTTTCCAAGCCCAGCAACATTGGGTTCCATTTTCACCCCCACTACTCTGGACGCGAGATTTTTTTTGGTTTCGGACATGGCACGCAACGCCATTCTTGCATGCCAGCATTCCACAACATGGACGTAGTGATGCTCCAGTTTGAGCAACAAGCAGCGTTCCAGCTTTGACGTACGAGCCATTCCAGTTTTCCCGTACGGGTCATTCCGGTTTTCCCCGGGTACAGGTCACATTCCCGTATTATGCACGCTCGTGACGTTCCCGGTACATCATATCGACCTTGTACGCACGTGACATTCCGGCTTGGCAACGACTGTTACTTGTACCTTCTTTGGGTGCACATGAGCCTGTTGCTAACCCGTGTAACATACTTCGTTCCCCCCCCCGCGCCCCCGGGCTAAATAGGTGCCACCCACCCACCCACCTCCGCGAGCGTTTTGTGAGTCACGGGGCTACTCCGCCCCGTCCCCCGCTGGTCCAGCATTATCACTCGGAACTCCTTCAGGGCGCGGCCCCACCACCCCTCCGGACGGGACACCCTGGGGGCCGGAAACCCCGGCCCCCCCTGGTTGGGGGGGGGGTACGAGTACAACATAGAAATAATGAGGCGAGAAGGGGGGGGGGGTGTACTCTTATGTTTTTCATGCCTTAGCGGTTAGACCATTGACCACGCGTCCTCGAGAGGACGGAGATTTGGGGGGGCTGGTTGTGGACAAATCGTTGCTAATGAAGTGCTGGTACGAAGTGGTATATTTTGTTCACGGGCGGGGTGTTCTCTGTCCTCTGACCATAGGACCATGCATCCCTCTCGACACTGAGCACCGTCGGTAGGCGCTATGAATACTGCTGTAGTTCGGACGTAGGGCGTCGCCGACATCCGGACGCTCTGTCCGTCTCCACGAAACTACTGCTGTTGGTCCTTTCTGCTTGATATTTCGACATAGCGGTGCCAGGCTTCGCCACCTCTCGTCCGTATTCCCTAGCCTCCTCCTCACGCAGGTCTCTCTCTCTCTCTCTCTCTCTCTCTCTCGCTTCTTTTGATCAAATGCACTTCCCTCTGTTCTAACTTGTGCACACACACACACATCTACTGAACATGTTTTAACGCACGTTCTCATGCGTGGGGGTAAATTTTCATTTTTCCAACTTCGTGGCCGCGCTTCTCCTTGAGCTCTCGCGACGTGTGCGGCACACGGAACACCGATCGACCTACCCGACTAAAATAACTATATTGCCACCAAGCCAACTACCCTCTCCAACTCTCCGATACTTCTCGCCCGCTAGGAGTGGAAAAATTAAAGAGGTCATTCTCCTCGCCCACATACTCGGTGACCGCCCCGCTTCTTTTCCCCTAAAAAAAATGACCCCCCCCTTCCCGAGAAACCTCACCTGAACGAGGCTTTGACGGAGTGCACCCACTATTCCAAAACGCGCAGCACAGCAACAGCGCGCTGCTTGTAGCACTACACAGGCACGCACCTGCAAGAAGAGGAGAAAAGGTCGATCCTTGTCGCCCACGTGCTTGGTAAGCACAAGCTCCCTGCGAGAAACAAGAACGAAAACAAAAGAAAAAAAAAAGGAATGAAAAGGAAGACGGCTCCCCAAGACCACCGTTCAAGCATTCAGCTCGTTGACCCGGCAAACCATGCACACCCGTTGGTGGATTCCATACGTAACATACCACACCCCGCCGACTTTCGAAGCCCGACTGCTCCGCAGTACAAACGGCGACGGGGTGCCGACATGTGGTGGTTTCGAACCGTCTCCTCGAGAGCAGATTTCTGAAAACCTCTTAATTCCACTTTGGCCAATAATAACAACAACAACAACCACAACAACAACGACAACAGCAGCAGCAGCAGCAGCAACAACAACAACAACAACAACAAAGAGAGCTTTCTGAAAACCTCTTAATTCCACTTTGGCCAACAATAACAACAACAACAACAACCACAACAACAACGACAACAGCAGCAGCAGCAGCAACAACAACAACAATAACAACAACAACAGCATAACCACCACCACAACAACGACAACAGCAGCAGTAACAACAACGATCACGACGCCGAAGACCGCCCTCTCTCGGGCACCAAAATCAACGCTGAGACCCACCTTGCAAACACCTCGATATCAGCGGGCGGTTGACGACGGCCATCGGCATCACTACCCTCTCCTCCTCCCGCCCTCCGTCCCCACTCCAGCGGGACGCGAAACGTGTGGTCGACGCTGGTGATACCTCCTGGAAGACGGACTGCTTCCCCCTCCTCGTGCGAAAATGACTTCGGAAGGGTTTACACACACACAGGGGGGGGGGGGGGGGAGGGGGTACTCTTATGGCTTGCATGCCGTAGCGGTTAGGCCGGTGATCACGCGTACTCGAGAGGATGGAGCACTGTGCCCACAGCACCGATCACCGATGGCCAATCGTTCCTTCCTACTTTGCCAAAGGTGGCTCAAAAATGTCTTCCCTAGTCTGTCTATCCTAACGATATCCCTTCCCGCCTTTTCAACCCACTTCCTACTCCCCAGTACAGCTACCGTCCTCTCCCCTCTATTCCATGCCTCAAACACCTCCCTGTATCTTCCTTCTACTTTTCCCAGCTCAGTCATGTACACGTCCCTCTCCTTCTTGTACAACGGACATTCCGCAACTACATGAACCCGGTCTTCGCACCCGGAGCGGCATTCACATTTCAACTTGTCGTCTTCGTCGTCTACCTTCCAAAATCTTCGTTTACGTTCTCGAAGGCCAATACCCCCTGCCCTAAATTTGACCTTCAGCTTTGCCCCTGCATCCATTGGTTCTTGTAGGTAATCCTTGAACCCTATTCCTTCTTTCAACATTCCGTACACTTCTATACCCTCCTTATCCTTGTTTTTTTTTGTTCGATTCTGTTCTTTTCTCTCGGCAAAAGCAACAGACATCTTCTCCTTGAACCCCTCTAGACCCCGTTTCCAGCGTATCACCTTCGTCACGGGGGGAGGGGCGTATGCCTAACTGTCATGGTTGTGTTTGCGTTCTGGACTGTGGCACCTGTATGCCCCCTGTTTGCTCTCTTGCTTGTGTGTTGGGGGAGGGGAGAGGAGGTACGTCCATCTGTGATGTTTGTGTTGGGGGGGGGGGCTCACACGTTGTGTCCTTCCTGTGTTTGTGTTCGACCATTGATTGACCACACCCTATTCTCAACACGGCGTGGCGCCCGTCCCCATTGTCACAACGAAGACACCGCGGGGGTCTTTAGTGTCTCCGCAGTATTCTTAGGATGATTTGTGTGACCTAAAGGGAGAGATGAAGATTTCGAACAAAAAACATGGTACATGCATATCTTAAAAAAATAACACTTCCAAAGAGCTGTCGCCCACTTCCTACTTTTCATCCTTCAAGGACGTGATCATACCTCCGCATGGCCTCCCGATGACAACGAGCTAGGCCTGTTCGCGTTCATTTTTGCCGTTGAAAGGCTCCGCGCGTTTCCCGCTCCTCCGGGACCGGGGCCCCGCGGAAAAAGCAGTGGCGGTGCCCCCCCTACCCCTCCTGATGCTGCTCCTGCTACCTTCTGCGGCACAAAGATGAGTGAATGACCGAATGAATCGCCTCATGTGGCAAAAAGGCAGTGCTGTATACCGTGGATGACACAAGATACCACCCATCCCCCCGGACCGATTTTTTCAGGGCTTTACGAGGCGATGCAGTCGCCCCATGGGATGGTGATGGTAGGAAAAACCCGCCGCAGGCAGGAAAATGTTGAGGTATACCATCAGCTTTGATGGAACGGGATCTACGTTTCTCCAATGGTAGTGGGATGGGATGGGAGAGGGGTCGAATGGGATGGGAGGGCATTTATATATCCTGGTTGTTGTTGGGATGGTACGTGTGTGTTCCTTGAGTAGAGAAGCGGAGCATTTCTGATTTCCAACACTACAGCAGCAGTATAATGGTGGTCATGTATCTCTCGACGAAATATCTCCGATTCCATTATGTACGTATGCATAGCTTTAGTCAAGACATACTGGGCGGACGATGTTTTGCATCTATCTCCACCACGTCTCCATCTATCTATCTATCCGTCCTAACAAGCGTGTTGAGGTGGGTGTGACGTTGTCGTGTTTTTTATCTACTTTTCTCCTGTGTGTTTTGGGATTACTGTAAGTACACGCGTAGCAATCCCTGAAGACCCTGATGAAGACTCACTTGCACATCTATCTCTGAAAGGAACAGCAGTGCTTGCTGTTGCCTTGCTCTCAAAGGTAGACTGAGCACGGAGGGGGAGGACATGCTCCCTCTAATAGGGGCCACCAAGGTCCCGTCCCCTGCTTAGCCTTGAATCGGGAGTTACAGCTCTCGCACCACGGTTGAACCTACACGTACATTAAAATCCCATAAAATATGATTGAGAGGGAACCAAGTAATTCCTGTTTACAGGAAATGCCAAACGTGATGCGGCGCCCCAGCCCAAAAATATGAACCTCGAGCGGGCGCGGGGCGGAGTTACTAAGTGAGAGTGGAATTCAATATTAACAGTCCCGCCGAAAAAACGACCAAGGTGATTGGTCAGTTTTTGCTGCTACTGCTACTGATGCACTGCTGTTGCTGCTAATGAAAGCGAGCTACGAGCTACGGCTGTGCGCGGTGCGTGTGTATATGTGTGTGTGAGAGAGAGAGAGAGTAGGAGTGCCTGTGAATCATGGGTACAACAGCATTACAGCTCGGCCGCGGCCCACAACGGGGTATCGACAGCATGCTCCAGACTAGAAGAAAATGTACGCACCCGGATGATCGCCGAGCTGGCGAGTGCATGCACGCGGAAGCCCGAAGTGCGGGAAGAGGAACACCCTGCGAGGAACAGCGAGGTCGCCAGGCGTGCAGCTGCAGCGCGTGGCATCATCACGATCTGCCTCTAGACATGCAAGGGGGTGCGGGGCGGGGGAGGGGGGGGGTAGGATCATGAAACACGCCCCTCGATAAGCATTGAACACCCCACCCGAAACCGTCGTTCTTATATTTTTTTCGAGCGCCGAGCGCCGACCGAACTTATTCCTTTCACACCCAATAACAGAACCGCCCCATTGATCCAAAACAATACAACCAACGAATGATGAAAATGATGCAACAGGTTATTACACCGGTAAATAGTATTATGAAGTCCGCAATCATTATTAGGCCACACAAGATATCGCTCTTTTGGTTTCGCCGCCTGGATATCTCCGGATACGCACATGCACGTGGCAGCATGTTTTTCAGGAGAACAAGCTCCCAACCGCAGCTGAGCGCCAAACGAGATACTGTACTTCGTCTACTGAGGTCTAGCCTTTAGATATATCTGCTTTGAACGTAGTCCGTGCATGACTGCCGTCCAGAAAACATCGCAATGGGACACAAAGAAGCACATCGCCTTCAGCCACGTCGCGCACCTGGGCGTCGATAACGTGCTCTTCGCGCTGGTGAGAAGGTAGCAATTGATAGAGAATGTAGCATGTCACAAACGTGGTGAGTAACATGGAACCCCGCTCTGCATATTGACATGCGTTTGCCGCGTTTGTAGGCCATTTTGGATGCTAGACTTACATTACATAATCCTTGACGTCCTCTATGGATGTGGCGAAGGTTAAAGTCCGTGCAGCACAACAAGTATTCTGTGTAGGCTCGTCAACGCAAGGACGAAGACGAGGGTCAATGAAAAAGAAGTATTTGCTTATTCCTAACGTCGTGAATGGAAAGGATGCTGCAAGCCAACTCTTTTGGCAAGATATAATTCAAACGAGTTTGTTCCTAACGTTGTAGTCTGTATCCAAACTACCCAAGACTTGCTCCGACTGGCTTCGACCACATGAGCGTAAGAACTCTACGTTTGTTTGCCATGTTTGCTATGCATACATGAAGTTTATATGGGCTTAAGGTCCAATATCTAGAGAAGAACACCAGAAGATCCTTCGAATAGAGAAGTACTGTAGAGGCACTATGCTTGCAGCGATTCAGGATGGACAACAACTCAAGCACGGATGTCCTGCCTCTCGTTCGTGCTTTAGTAATCCGAGACGAAGAGGATATTCTCTACTCTGAGAAGGTTAACTTACTCTTACTCCGAACATGTTGGCGCGTGGGGTGGCGACGAGGGTTGCACGTAATGATGAGCGAAAACAGAAAAGAAACCAAAAGGAAAAACGCGACGAACATGCGGACAGACAGACAGACATGAGCGAGTTCGAACACAAAATCGTTCCAATCGCCATTATTGTACGTGCGAACAAGCGAAGACGCAAATATAACGTGTGCTGTGACATTGCAGAGGCTGCGGGCGGGATCGTTGGACCCAGTGGCAGTCAACAAGTCGGTCCTTGCATCTTCGACGAGCGACGACGCCGAAGGACCAGCAGAAGACCCCGCTGCTCGAGGGAGAAGGAACAGGGACAGGGAGAGGGAAAAGCGCGACGCTAGGCGCAAGGGAGCGGCGGCGGCGGCGGCGGCAGTCGCAAATGCGAACGAGGATAACCTTAATACCGCTGCAGGTACATCGGGAGATGAGAGGCATGCGGAGTAGGGGGGTGTAGTTGTTCGTGGGGTCGCTTTGTGTCAAGTGCTCAATCAAAAACGGCCTCAGGAGACGGAAGAGTGGAAGGAAGAACCATATCAATTCCTTAGGCCCTCGTGTGTTTTGGAATGCTGTTTGTTGTTGTTGTTGTGGTTGTGGCTGTTGTTGGCTTGACATTCGCAAAAAAAGACGTTCATATCTATTGTGTCTCATCTACCCGCGCTATCCACGGTGTTTGTCTTGTCGCTTTTCGTTTGCGCAAGAAACCGTTCCTGACGCTAATCGTATTTGTGGTTGTAATCCTCATCATTTCCCTCAGGGCTAGAGCACCACGGTTGTCGCAAACTTGCCCCTCGATCGCAACAACAACGTTGTACCGTGCGTTCAACAGCCGGTGGCAGAAAAAGGAGCGTGTTTAAACTGCACGGCATTTACACTAAGTCACCAGATGCTGTTACAAGGCTGTGTCGAGGCGCTGTATCCACGAGCAACCTTGAACACGCAAAAACCACGATCCCTGCGCTTGTCGACGACGCGCGAAAAGGCAGACGCCCGTGCGGCTTTGAACAAAATGAAACCGAACCCTGTCCATACGAAGCGCACAATAATCATTGTCCTCGTGTGTTGTTTGTGCCAACGCCCCTTCTCTCCGTGCAGGATTGGAGGGTTCCGCCATATCCTCGGCCCTCGGGCATGGCGCCCCGTGCAAGAACAAGTCCTGCGGGCGTCGAGAGGCGCTGGAGGATAAGCTCATGGCCAAGTGGGAGCAGATCAAGACCGAGCTGGCGGACAAAGTCAAGCGCGCGCAGAAGCTACGGCGGTCGGTGAGTGAGTGGAGTAGGGCGAGGGTAAGGGGGGGGTGCAGGTAGATATTACGGGGACACGCAGAGGCGCGCGCGGGGGTCACGTTATTGAAGGCGGAAAGGCAAGCAAGCGTCAGTCGCGAGCAATGGTGTTTTGACCATGATAACGAAGAGCTTCGTTCGTGGCAGAGTAGACTGACTGGTCGCAAGGCCCTGATGGCCTCCTCATGTTGACCACTGCGGAGCCAAAAACGTTGTTCAAGAGGCAAGAAGATTTTCACGAAGCATCGCAACAAAAATGCTCAAACGCGCCATCAACGCTTCAAGAACTCGACCCCGAAGAACAGGTGCTCCGTTAAGGATCCTATAAAAATAACTATCTGATCGTTGTTGCGCTGTTGCGCTACCCCATAAGCCTGTGCCTGCACTGTCTAGAAGCAAGTACATCAAATCGCGACGCACATATTATATCATGTCTAAGGTTGAAGAGAGAGAGAAGAAGAGAGATGCCGCCGTCGAAGAAATCACCGCTCTTAAGGAAGCAGAGGAGGGGGAGGCCGCGGGCGCGGAGGAGCAGAAGAAGCGCATACAGGCGGCGGAATCAGAAGGACGAAGGATTCTAGAGGAAAGCCAGCGGTTGGAGGTAGAACTCCGGAAACTCAGGGTGCGGTACCAGGTAAGCAGGGGAAGAAGGGCAATGACGTCGCTCTTGTTCGTCGAGATACTTAACGCTGCTACTACGAATACTTGTGATGATTACGACGGAAAGAAGGTGTTATCCGTACAGCTGCTTGTTGACTCGACAGGCAGACGAGACAGAGGTCTACCGGGACGCCGCACGCAGGGGGGACGGGTTCTTCAATAGGTTGTGGAGGGATCCACCGACAGCTATCCACGAGGACACCAGATTGAAAACTCACCCAACAATCGATGCCCATTACTGATGGCAACGGAAATCTCTCGTTGGCAGCACGAGCCTACTATCGCGTTCGCTCGCAGCATCCATCCGCCATCTATGGTCTCGGAGGTGCATAGAGTATTCGCCCACCCACCCCTCCCCCCCCGCGATCGTGCTACTGCTCCGCAGGAAGAAACCCAGCAGAAGCTACCGATGCCGCACGGGTCAATTATCAGCGAGGCCGACGCGTGGGCAAAGGCGGCGGAGGTGGCAGCGGCCGCGCTCTCCGACGAGGACGAGGAGCCTCCGCCGCCGTACGTGCCCGACGGCCTAACCGTGTCCTTCTCCACCAATGAGGGTCGCCGCCGCCGTACGTTGCACGACGAGGAGAGCGCTATCTCCGGAGGGGGGCCAACTAGCAAGCGGCCCTCTCAGGAACACCCCGGCCGCTTCGGCCGGTGGGGAACAGAGGCCCGAGAGCAGTGGTCCTGTTGCCTGTGCGGCGATGACTCCGGCGGCGGCGGCGGCGGCGGCGGCGGCGACGGCGACGAAGACGTCGACGGCGGTAGGCGTGGCAGAATACGGGGCCGCGTCGGCGTGGCCGGCGGTTGCGAAGCAGTGCCACCGCGTCTCGGCCCCGGAGGAATGACCGCCGCAGACGACGTGCGACTGGTGTGGGGTAGCGGCGGCGGCGGCGGCGGCGGTGTTTGCGGTAGTAGTGGTAGCGCTGGCGCCGGTAGGATTCGACGCGAGGCTTGGGGGACGGCGCAGGGCGGCGACGACGGAAGGGAGTTGTGGAGACCGATGCTCGCGACGAGCGTGAGCGGCGGCGGCGGCGGCGCGGCGTGGAGCCTCATCCGCCAACACCGCCGGCCGCAGACCGCGAACGCGCGCCTGATGGGGCGTAAGGCGGCGGCGGGGCCGACAACAGCAGCAGAAGCCAGCCGCGGCGGCATCAGTAACGCATCCCAGGCGAGAAACAAGGCACGACGCGCGGGCGGCGTAGCTTGCGGCGGCGGCGCTGCTGCTGCCGTCAGGAGAGAATGTCATCGAAAGTGCGATGTCGTGTACGGCGGCAAGCACAACGGCAACAACAGAAGAGGTCGGCCGCGCAGTTGCGCGCGTCCGGGATCGGCACCACCGGCGGGGACCACCACCGGTCGCAACCACAACAACAAACAGCACGCGGTGAAGAACATATCGTCGTCGCTTACGGCCCTGCGGAGCGCGCGCGCCAGAGCAGGATGGCAGCGAAAGGGATCCACCCCTGTCAGCCGCGGCGGCATCACGCGGTTTGGCAACAGCTACGCCTTCCGAAACAGCAGCAGTTCCTCCGGCAACAACCACTACTACTGCAGTCGCGACGCAACCGCGGGAGGCATCGCTGACCGGTCGATGTTTTCGCTGAACGCAGGGGGCTCCGTCTACTCGGTGTATTCGAAAGGGGGAGGGAGGGAGGCAGCACCGGTGGTTGCCACTGGGGGGGCATGAAGGGGCGACCTATGCATACGAGCCGTCCATAATCCTCTGTTTTGTATGTGTCTTTCCTAGCTGGGGAGCCTTGTCTCTCAGCCGGCCAATCGGCCGCCCCATTACGAACAAAGAAAAACGTGTACTCTTCGTCTCAAGTGTCGGTTTCGCTCCCATTTCTGCCTTCGGGCCGTTTCACCGAAGAAGAAAAAGAGAGGAGGAGAAACCGCCAAAAACTTCGTTGCAATTGGCCAAGAAGGTGTTGGACAATGAGCACTCGTCAGCAAACTGTACCGCGTCAAGAACGGCAGAATTCAGTCAACCAACCGTTTCGGCTCCTTTTTCACAACGGGTAACCAAAACCGCTCCTCCTCCTCAGCACACACCGCCTCAAATTGGCCACGCCAACGACAGCACTGCCACCAACCATCGTATGTCTCATCCTTTCTTTCATGGAAAAAGAGGAATTGAACATCTTTCATCACTCGCCAAAAGCCAGCTAGTTGCCCAAGATCCAAAAGAGACACACACCTCAAGCAGCACGATTTCGTGCCGTTGAAAAACAAAGGGCGAAAAATGTCTTTCTGTCGAAAAATGCAAGGAGCGCTGCCCCCTCTCAAAGAGAACAAAGGGAAAACCAATTACGGTTTCGGTTCTCGATATAAAAAGGGAAAGAAAAAAGTCTACACCAAGAAGTATCCGATCAAAAGATAAAACCGCGAGGAAACCGGACGGGTTGCCCCGGTCCTCTTAGAGGCACACCTTCTACATCCGCGACGCTAGTCTCGCAGTTTCTTTCATCTATTTTTATTTTATTTTCCTGTCCAACCCGCTCGGCACAGCCGACCAAAACAACGAAGGACACGAAAATACGCGGGAAACATGCGCTTCTACTGGAAACCCAAAGCAGCAACAAAAAAACAGGCCGAAAATAAACACCTTTGTTCGTACTTCGACCCGTTGCGCACAGGGTTGCGAAGGCTGCAACGCTTACTCGCGCCGAGGCAGACTCTATCGACTGCCTCTTAACGGAACCGATGCCGAACATCAACAAGGAAGGGTCGCGTTGGGCAATGTAAGATTCATGTATGGTGCAGGGGGGTACATGTAGTTCTATCACGAATGGATCTCACAAAAGTCGAAGAAATGACAACATGCGCCTTCTCGAGCTAACAGCAAGAGACTACGCCCGCCACAAACACTACATCTCCAACGCTCTAAAAAATACAGTGGCGCTTGCGTTTCTTCTCTCGAGAACAACCAAGGAAATCCTTTTCGCCGTTCAAGCTCGCCGCTTGCTCAACGAAAAGCGAATTTTCTCTCTATTGTCACTGCAGAGAGAACTATCCTTATCGAGTAGAGCGACCGGTCATTTCGGGTTTTATTATTCCGAAAACTGGCCAAATTATATCCAGTTGTACGAAGCAATGTCACGAGCGTCTCATGTTCTCTCGCACAACAAACGAACCTTATCAGCTATACCCTTTTCTCGCACAAAACAGGAGCGACAACGTTTTTGCCGTGTTCTGTGCCGAGTAAAGCCCTTCCTCCAGGAAGAAAGAGCAAGAACATCTCCACCACTACCCCCGCCCCCGCTTCGATATACTGAACCCCCCGTACGGAAACCCCACCGAGGGAGAGGGTTGAATCCATCTCTCAGAAGAGGTATTGTACTTCCGTGAGGTTAGCTAGGGCCACAAACGGACGGTGGTAGCAAAAATATCTTCTACAAGAAGCTTCTATAAGAATAGGACTCTGTCTTAGAAGAACGACTTCTTGATGCTGAGGCCGCCGCCCAGCACCGCAAGCGCCACGCCTAAAGCGGAGATGACGTAGTTGCCCATGATCTCCGCCCGGCGCCATCCCTGCACGCACGCGCGTCCAACAACAGCAGCAGTGCGCGTGAGAGGGGGAGTGGCAGCAACCAGGTAGAATGCCGACATATTTGATGGTGTGAAACCCTCTCGAGGGGACACGAACACGTTTCGCGCGTCCAACAACAAACAGCAGTCCGCACGACACGGGGAGGGAGCGGAAACACCAACAAGAGAACACGAACGTGTTTGTTGGTGTGGAACACACAGGAGGAGAGTAGACCTGGGAGGAGGGGTCATAACGGGTGCCAGCAGCAGGACATACTCAACGCTTCTCCCCGTCATGCGTGCACTGCCAAGGAACCCATATACGGAGGTCTTGACCCTTCGAGGTGTTGCGGTAGTCTAAGGATATACTGATATAGCAACTCGATGAGTTTTGTGGGCGTTGCCTGTCTGAAGCTTTCCTTTTTATTTTTCACGGGAAGCCGCAACTTTGAGCACGAGACACAAGGAAGAACCAACTAACTACGCAAAAAGGAGGACCACCTTCCTGTTGACCCGTCAAGGTTTTACGGTACGGTTGTAGTCTCAGGGTATACCACCGCCTTCATCCCCCCCGTCCACCCCACGCACCTTGAGCGGCTTTCCCCACTTGGCGTCCTTCTTGCTCTGCGCGATCCACATCATGGTCGGGAAGATGAAAACAAGGGCGGACCCCAGCACGGCGCCGCCGAAGCTCACGACGAACCCGAGGTCGGTCAGGAGCACCCCGATAGCCGTGAAAAAACCGAGCAGCAGGGTGGTGCCCACCTTACGCTGGTTCTCCGTCGGGTTCTGTTTTTTTTTTTTGGGGGGGGGGAGGGGGGCGGTCGCGTCGCAATAGGATTTTCTTCTCTTTTTTCCACGAAAAAAAAAAAATCTCTTTTGTATTACAAAATCTACAGATGAAAGAGTTCAAGGAATAGTTTGTGAGGAATACTTTCGGCACGTGCTGTCAAGAAGAAGAGACCGCTGTGTGGATGGCCGTCCAATGCCATGCCACGCGCCAACGCAGTCGACACCAGCTTGCTTTACAGTTACATGCTGCTGCGGCCTATAGGAAGCTGTTCCAACGAAAGAGCGCACTGCTCCCCGTGCCACCGCGGCGTGTCCATGTTCACGCACCGAGATGCCGACGGCGGCCAGGGCGCCGGTCTTGGCGCCCATGAACACCAGCGGGTAGCCTCCCACGATGGAGCTGGCGATCGCAAGGCGGCAAGACGTCGCCAGGCGGTCCTAACGGTTGACGCCAGAACCCCCCCCCCCGCAAGGACGGGGCCAAGAAACAAAAATAGGGTTTAGATTAGAGAGACAACATTCCCACGATGAACGGGGGCGCAGATAGCAAGGTCTCCGGAGATTTGTTCCGAAGACGACATCACAACACCGACGACAGACGTTCGCGCACACGAGCTATGTACATAGTTGTTTGTGTCTCCACCACCGCAACCAGCAGCAGCAGCAGCAGCAGCAGCAGCAGCAGCAGCGGCCGCGGCACCCCCAACTACTGCGAGGGTGACGACGACAACATCAACCTCCCAACAGACACCGTACAACCAACGACAGCAGCAGTAGCAGCAGCAGTAGCAGCAGCAGCAGCAGCAGCGGCCGCGGCACCCCCAACTACTGCGAGGGTGACGACGACAACATCAACCTCCCAACAGACACCGTACAACCAACAACAGCAGCAGCGGCAGCAACTGACTACCGGAGCCGCGTCTTGGGGCACGAACACTCACAGAGGTCGCGAAGTTGTTGAGGATGAAGCTCTTGGAGGCCCCGCCGAAGGTGAGGTACGGGAACAGGGTCATGATCACAACCAGGCCAATCGCCGCGGCAAAGGAGGAGCCGACCACGGTGTTAAACCTTTTCGTGGAAGCGATACGAAACAAGCGCGCGCGCGCGGGGGGGGTGTCATGCCGTGTTTCGACATTTCCAAATACCGTACGAGACAAACAGGAGGAGGGTGGGCAGCAAGTCACCGTGAGGTTACGCGCAATAACTTGAGCCGGATGCCAAACGGGCGCAGCAGAGGATGAGACCGAGAGCTTGCGTACGACGGAGCAGGGGCAGACGGAGCAAGATCGGTCACGCTGATCAGCATGTATTTCACGGATGCGCTCGTTTGAGAGTTACACGATGCACGCGACGAACGTTTTCGCCAATGGATCGATCTTTTTTGTGCCTTTGATTTGTCTTGCACTTACTACCGCTGTAGCCTGTATCCACGGAGGTTCTCTTGTGCTATAGAACAGATCAGCTCGTGTAGGAGGCCATGGGCAATGGCGACAACAGCAGTTGTTCATGTACAAACGACAACCAACGTCCACAGCAGCAGCAACGGCAAACTCGCAACGAATGTGTCCTTGCGCTCGACAGCAACAACAACAGCAGCAGCAGCAGCACCACCACCAACAACAACAACAAGAAGAACATCAACAGCAGCAGCAACAACAAGAACAACAGCACCACCACCAACACCAACAAGACGTCACACAAAAGCACACCTACCTCGGGACGGACTTGTCCTTGAGTTCGGCGTAGAACTTGGGCGCGTTGAAGTGCGCGACAAAGGCGGTCGAGAGCATCGACACCAGGATGAGAGCCTGCGAGTTCATCGCGCCTGTGCCAGAAAAGACGGGCCTGGCGTCCTTGGCAAGGCCGGCGAAGAAGCGCCCTCCCTCCACGTAGCTGTTTTTTGTTTTATTGACGGATGGATACGATGAGCGGGAGATATGGCGGATGGATCACATGTAACGGAAGGACACTGTTTTGAGCGGGAGGTGTCTTTTTTGGGGCGGACGGATACACAACAGATGGGACACGTTGGGCGGGATGGCCTTCCTTTTTTCGGATGGATACACCGCGGATGGAGACAGGATAGACACGATGAGCGCTCTTTTGTTTTTGTTGGTGGATGGATGCATAGCGGACGGATACGATGGGTGGGAGGTATTGTCAAAAGGTCATGCTAGACGCGCGCCGACGAGCTACGGGGAGTGGCCAGAAAAAAAAAAGCAAGGCGCAGGTTGTGTTCCGGAGGGGTGTAGAAGCAAGCCCTCGCGCTCCGCTTACGTTACATAAACCAAAAACAGAGAGAGAGAGAGAGAGAGAAGGAGGCGGAGCAATTTATCCGAGCACGTGCGACGGAAGAGCAAGCGACAACACAATCGACCTTGAACGACACTTTTAGAGCACACTAGGGTCTTGTAGGCAAAGCGAGGACCTCCTGTACTTAGCGCCGTCCCCTCCTCAGCATGTTTGTTATTCATGTGCTCTTGTCGTCGACAGGTACATAGCACTGGACGCCGAACCGCCTACACGACAATAATTTTCACCGTCCCCTCCGTTCTCCTTGCCGACAAAAACGTACAAACCCCTCGTTGATACCGCATACCGTACAACCCCCTCTACGAAAAAACCGCCGTCGCACCTGTTGTCGAAGTAGCGGATACCCATCACAGCGGCCGTGTACACCGTGCCCAGCACACCCATGATCGACGTGTAAGACAGCGCGCTCAGGTCCTGGCCAAAGGGAAACGCGCGACGGAATGTGGTACACAGGATAATTAAGGCTCGAGGCACGAGGCCTTTGGACACCAGGAGGTCTGTAGCGAACACGCCGTGGGAGCGTTGCGAAGTGATAGTGCGACCGACGGAATTGTGTACACAGAATGATCAAGGCTACGAAAAGGGCGCACAAGGCAATTGGACACCAGAAGATATAGCGAACACGCGGTAGGCGCCTTGCGAAGTGCGGCGGAGCTGGCGTGGGTCCCAACCCATAACCGCCAGCATCAAGACGTGTGACAACAACGGGAAAGCAAGCAAGGTAAAGCGCAGCAAAAAGCGAAAATATGCAACTACCCGATCACAACAACCATACCGACAACGACAGCAATAGCATTAGCGCCAGCCAGCGGCAGCAAAAGCGGCAACCAACCACAACACAGAAACAACACGCAACAGAAGAAGAAGAAAATTCACAACAACAGCACCGGCGGTGCCAACGAACAAACTCAACAACAGCAACAACAACAACAACAACAACAACAACAACGCGAAGTGGATACACCTTGAGCAGGCACAGGGGGAGGAGCACCAACGCGCTGACGAGGCAGAGGATGTTGGTGCGGGCAGCGAGCACGCCGGGGGCTCCGAAGGCCGCCAGCACGTCGGCGAACACATCACCTGCCATTATCAACAACAACAACAACAACAACAACAACAGATAAATATGAGTTAGTAAGTGCAAGGTCGAGCAAGAATTTCTTAGGCGGGGATGCTAACTGCTGCATGTCTCTTGTCTAGTTCCGCGTGTCTGTCTCACACTGCTGTAGTCTATGGGTGTGCGTGTTATACCATTAACATCGACCGCCCAAACGAACGAAAAGACGCAAGTCTCAGTGCGGCTAAAAAAAGAAAATGTTTCTAAAGGCCATTCAATGTCAAAAATGTGTGTTGTGTCTTTATCATAAGCATCGACCGCGCTGACGGGCTGACCAATGAAAAAGATTTCAGTCTTAAATGTGTGTGTGTCTGTCTCACCGATGATGATCGAGTAGGCCATGCAAGCGAAGAAGGTCTTCGCCGTGCAGGAGGAGGTGGGCAGCCACGACGTCTTCTCGCCGATGGTCTTGCTCCAGGCGTCTCCGTACGAGGAAGCCCCCGTCGCGGCGCACACCCGTCCGATCAGGCTTTTTTATGACAAAACAAGATGCAACACGCATTAAAAAAAATATGTTGCAAGTTCCACGGCGATAAAAAAAATACCATCATCATCGGTGCAAAAGACCCGAGCAAACGAATGATAAAAAAACAAATCAACAGCACCTCAGCCGAATAAAAAAAAAAAACCCGTCTACATCAAGTATCTACAACAAGGATCGCTTTTGGGCACGCTCCCGCCGCGGTGCAAGACAGACAACACAGGCCCACCTGAAGCAGTAGCCCGACATCCCGCCCAGCGCGACGATCATCGCGACGGTCGGCACGACCGCGGCCCTCGACTGCGAGAAGGCGGTAACCCCCCCGGGGATGGCGAGGATGCCGGCCCCGACGACGTTCTTGATGAGGTTGAAGATCGACCTCCCGACGGTTACGCCGCTGCTGGAGCTCTCGGCCTGGGGCGCCTGAGAAAAAAAAAAAAACGGTGCCAGAAAAAAGGGGTTCCAACGAAACCGACGAAAAAAAAAAAAGTGAGGCGAAAACGTGGTAGACAGACGAATGCGCGTGGCATGAGGCCGGCCTTAAGGAACTCTCCGATCCGTGTTGAAAAATAGTTGTGCACAATAACGAGACAAACTCAACCAACAAAAATCACTTCGTCTTGTTTCATGCCATGTTATTCTCACAAAGTGCACTTTGTGATCTATCTCAACACTGATTGCAGTATTTAAGACTTCCATTACACCCCTTAGAAGACTGAGGTACAGTAGTGTTCTCTTCAACGAGTGCTAGTATTTCGGTGAGTGGTGAATACTGCGTACAAGTACAAGCGCGGCGTGACGGAAGCTTACTCCTGCACGTGTATCCAGAAATGGCCAGGAAAGCCATGACAACAATCCAGCAATAGGGCAATAAGCGACGCAGTCGCAGGGGCCACAGAAAGAGAAACCACCGCCCCCCCTTAACAACATAAAAAAACAAAAAAAAACATCTTGCTTGTGAATGACCGGAATCCGCGACAGTTTGGGGTGTCGTTTGTTTTTGTTTCGGATACAATATTTTTCAGTTTTGGGCACGCATACAAGTATGCACCTTAGGGAGCAAAATCATTATTTGCCAACCGAAGACGCACGAAACACATTTCATGTCGGAAGAGACACAAGGGATTCCAAGCGTGAACGACGACTTGCCCATAAACAACATCCGCGCTCTCCTTGCTGCTGCACACAAACCCGCTGGGTCAAAGGGTTCTGCTTCAGCTGTGGACTGCACAGTCAGCGCCCGCGACTAGAAACAAACCTCCTAAGAACCAAAGGCTCAGATTTTGGCGAAAAAAATCGACGAAGAAACACACCTCAGGCGTGGGTGGATCCTACACTAAACTGATCGATGCACGGCGGTGGTGCCGCAAAAAAGAAATTGAGCCTCGACCCCAAATTGACGTTTCTTAAACGCGTGCGCTAACAACTGCACTACTGTACACACGTCCGCCGCTGCACCAACAAAGGTTACTGCTGCTGCTGCTGCTGCTGCTGCGGATGCGCACCGGAATCGCCGCGGCGCCGCCGCTTACGTCCGACGCCACCATGTACGCCGTCGCCGCACCCCGTCCGGACTGCGGCTTGTTGAACACATCGACGCTGCTGCCGCTGCTGCTGCTGTCACGCGGGAAACGGAACCATGGGGGGGGGGTTGTTACAAAAGCTTCCGTTGATGACACAACAAGCGCTTGTCATGAAAACGCGGTCTTCATTACTGTCGTGCGGGCAAAAAAAAAAAAGGTTCGCTCATTCATTCGCTGCCGGTTGTGTAAACCCAATCTGAATCGTTTTTTTGTGGTCCCGCTTCCTCGTCAATTCTGGTGTGAGGTATGCCGACGACGGGGGGAGGGGGCGCGGATGGTAATGCACGACCCTTGCGCCGGTTCATACCCCCGGGTTTCCCCTGAACAGGAACAGACTCGCATAACATTAGAGTACTCCCAGAGGGACGGGGGAGTTTAACCGGGGTTCTGGACAAGGCTGGCTGGTTGCACGCTTACTGTGTACGCACCACACAAACCAAAATATAACGTAAAATACGAAGGCAAGGACCGCCTTCGACGGCAAGGACCGCCTTCGTGGGCATATTTTTGTTGATCTATGAAATAGAGAGGGCATCCCCATCCCTAACACTTAAAACCCCAACCACCCCATGCCCGCTACCAAAACCGAGGTCGATACCTCGCCAAGGCTACTGCTGTTGATAGAAGTATCATCAGGAAAAATAAATACGCACACAGAAAGACTACCCTTTTGAGATATACCCACAGCAGTGATGGAAGTATATGGCCTGCACGGCGTCACGGAATGTATCGACCAAATCCTGGAAGGTCTTCCTTCTGCAACATACCGCCCTTAATTAAGTCCCCGCCGCACGTGCGTACCGAATTTGTTTACGCAACAGCAACATACAATACCCGTCTTCCGACGGGAGAAGTGAGTGCTGCTGTTTACCATGGGTATTTTAGTTTTCATGTGTACCCCACCCATGGATATTTCGCCACTGCCACAAAGTATCCGTTAGATGCTTCAAGCTAAAAAAAAAACTTGAAAGGCAAGTAGAGATACGAGATGCGCCAGCATTTCAGACGGCTCCTACAAACGGGGGCAAGAGTCGGAAAGCGGTGTTTATTGGAGTTCAAACGTACCGGAAGGAATTAAAATATTACGTGTTGAAGAGGACGCCTGGCTTCCACGCGTGAGCACGCGTACCGTAGATAGTATCTTCAAGTTAAACGAGGAGATGCAACATACTAGTGTATTTTATTATTCCTTAATACTAACAACTGCTGTTTACAACGACGACACAACATCTGACACTTGAAAAAAACAGAAGCGCATCCGACCCCCGAAAAAATATGCGCCATTCGATCAACTTGAAAATTGGACAGTAGTCTAGACTAGACAGACCGTTTCAGCGCGGGTCACGGAAAAAAGAACAGCAGTAAGACCATAGCACAGAGCACCGAGGTGAAAACACCACACGACAAGACAGCAGTAGCTCTACTGTAGGAATCCACCACCAGTAGTGATGGCGCTTGTGCAAAAGGAGCGGCACATGTAGACTACATACTGTTGTCCGAAGTGAAAGCTGCATGAACACAGAACAGGAGCGTCTACACTATTTGCATACGTGTGCAATATAGGTAAGCCGCGTTGAAATAACAGTACTGCCGTGAACCGTGAACGCGTTCAGAGAGGCAGAACGCACCTGACCCGGGTTGTCGCCGAGGTGGAGGTAGTCGGGGATGCGAAAGCGAGGACGCTGCCCCTGGCTGGAGGCGGCACGAACCCTAGAGCTGACCCATCCTTGCCGCTTCTGAATTTCGGCACCACAACGGCAGTAGCAGCAGCACCGCAATGACAACAGGCAGCAGGATGAAGCGGAGTTAGTAGCGGATGTACGTGGGGCCTAAAGTGGTTGCCGACATGAGAGGGAAGATATTCAACCCCTCCCTGCTCTGCCTCTTCGAGCGAAAGACTACTGCTGCTGCTGCTGCTGCTGCTGCTGCTGCTGCTGCTGTGCTCGAAAGGATATCATGGGCGCATACGTCGGCTCACATATTGCTGCTTCCGTCCGTCTCAGCAGGGTGCGGGTACGACGACACTCTTCTCTCTCTCTCTCTACACACATATTTCAAGTGCAGGTACCCACCGAGCGAGAGCAAGACCCTGGTCCACTGCCGCAGCAGACAGCAACAGGTAGAGGAAGCTCTTTGTCAACGCCATGGTGTTTGGGTGTTGTGTGCTGCAACAGCAACAAGCATGCGAAGCAGCAACACAAGGCAGGGGGGCAGGAGGTAGGAGGGTGGGGGGGGGGCGGGGGTACGCGACGAGGAATTTGCAAAATGTGGCACGTGCATGCCCGCACACCATCATATTTAGACAATAAATAAATACACACAGAAAGACTATTTATTGTACCCATTCGAGATATACCCACAGTCGAACGGGATGTGGCGGAGTCTTTTCAGTGAGTGGAGGAAAACCGGCTGGGTACTGGACTTATTTCGAGTCTTTTTAAGTCTATATACTGATGACAAATATCAGTGATGATGCCAGCTGACAAAAACATCTTCGTCGGTATAACTTACATTTTACAATACATCCAGCCCCTGTAGATACAGCAGTAGTAGTAGGATCCCTCTGACAGCTGATAGATCCAACGTATGTACACATGCTACATTTATGTGTATGAAGAGGTGTGTGTCGCGAGGTCGCGAGGCGACACTCATATCAGAGTACCGTGGTGTTGAATGACCACACTGTTGTGTACTGTAAAATAATATTTAGTACGATATGCATAGATGCATAGCAGGACACAGAGTCTGGAGCCTACCTCTTCTCTCTTTCGCCCATCTCATCGCACATGTATGTGTGATGAAGGTTAAGGTTATATGTTATCTCCTCTCTATCGCGAAATCGTAGACTAGATCTTGAAAAGTTTAGAGTGTGCCCGATCGATGTCTGTCGCGTGATTACACTACCATGATAGGTATATACGAGTCTGAAGGGTGAGAATAAATCATGGGAAAAGAACAACCCACTCGATTGATTGGTTGCCGACACTTACCTCCAAGAATGAAAGCAAGGGCCAGTTTTCCAACCGATGTATGCATGCATGCATGCGCACGTACGTATGCAGGAGGAACCCCACACATGACATGTATTGTGGCAATCTATTTTCATCCCATTCCGCACGTCGCCAGTCATCGAGAACCGCCCGTTCTTTTCCACCTCGTCACCCTCACTTTCGGGGGTTTCATGACAACAGAAATCGCTTGCAGCAGGTGATGACTGCAACAACACGACGTAACACAGAGCCCTACATTTATTTGTGCCCGCAATATTAGCTAAAATTAACAACGCACATCACATGAAAAACACGACCAGCTTCGCTTTGCCGACGAAAGTCAAGCGCAGATGCACCATTCCTACACGCTTCGACTAGAAAAGAAACAAATGATATGCTACATTATTACGTTTCTAGACAAAAATGAACACGAGGGCCACCGGTACTATTCGGTACCACTCACGGCCTTCTTCCTGTTATTTTGTAGCAAAATGCCCCCGGAGTAATGACATCGAACAAGCAACAACAAAAGAACCTTTCCTCTCGCCCAATAATAACAGAAACGCCACCACAGACTCCTTCAAGCGAAAGCTAAACTACTATTAGTAGTGCTGTCTTGCAACCACCGCAAAATTTTCGTGTGAAGCTTATAACTACCGCTGCACTTCCCCTACCTATCGTTTTCGAATTTTGACATGGCGTAGGTTTCGAAAGGCCACCGCCGTATTACTCCCTGACTCGCTCGACAACAGTGACAGCGAGGTGGGTGGGTGGGTCCGGCGTGACACGATGCGCAAAAGAAAAAACCGAACGTCCAACGAAGGCGACAGACCTCGCCGGGTTCATGCCGTGAGACTCGACAACACCCCGTTACACACCCACAACCAAAACACATCGTCACACCGTTCTCTCTGCTTTGCTTTGTCTCCTTACCCGAAAAAAAAGCGCAACACCGGTGCCACCACCTCTGCGACGATCACTCGTTGCCAACCGTCATAGATGAGACAGGTCTCGCCCACCAAGACTTTCGAAACACCGACCTCCACAGAACGACCACAGCAGCAGGCGTGGCAAAAGACGCAAGCCGAGAGAGGCAGGCTACACCTATCTACGCATGAAGCAAGCAGCGAAGGACTTTATTTAGTCCACGCCCCAATCGTGCCACCAAAAGACCCTGCTGGCTGCCGGCTACCAACATTTTTGCACATGGAAGAAAATCTAGGACACCCCCCGGCGCGTCGCGCGCTCTATCCACCGCAGTACACCTATCCAACGTATCCCAACACCGGGACTCGCGGGCATCAGGATCGCCAGGCTATTTTAACACTACTCCACCCCCAATCCTACACCCGTAACCAACCGCTTTGATAACTTTACACACGGCTCTCCAACTTTCGGACAAAAAAAAATCGCTCATTAATAGAACAACGTAGCTGCCGACGCCACGAGAAAACTAGTGCGACAAGTCTAGCTGTCGCAGCCAGCGAGCAACTGCTCCTTCCACAACCTCCGGTTGTACCACAACTACTAATACCGCTGTGGGACGTTAAACATTTCGCTGCGTGAGGACGGACAAGTCACCCACAAACACCCTCCTGCCACCACACCCCAACAAAAAACCACCCAAGTTTACAAGATATTCTGGAAATATTTGTGGACGTGCGATATTATTCTGCCACCAACCACCCTCGACAACCTTCGAACCCTCCCCTCACCACCCACTGCTGCCCCTAGCGCCCAATCTCGCGTAAAAATTGTACTATCAGATTTCAGAACATTGTAGCATACTATCAGATTCCAGCACGAATGGCGTCGAAATGGAAAAGAAAAATCAGCCCTTCCACGTAAAACGAAATTATGTAGTGCAACAGATGCATGGTGTACGGAACACGAAACTATGTTATCAAACCGAGGTATCTAGGATATAAGTCTGACGAATGCTCAGCTGCAGCTGTAAGCACGTCTATGCCTGTGGGCACGAAACTTGGAATGGAGAACGCCGTTGCTGCTGCAGGTTGTACAAAAAGGTGCACGAAACATGTAAAAACTGCCAGCCCTTGACCGCAAGTGCGATAAAACTACACCAGTTGCGTCGCACACATATACAAGTAGGCGCGATGCACTCGCTCCCGCTGAGAAAAAAAAAGCATAGTACATGCACGTGCCGACGTTAAGAAAACAGAAATCGAGAGACATAAAAACGACAAAAAAATTGACAACGACAAAACAGACAGCAAGACAAGAGTGAAAAACAAATAAAAAACCGCACAACTTCACGGTCAACCGCGCCCGCACGAGCTTCTTCTATCTTTTGCGCGAAGGACGGTCAAAACTAACGAAAAAAACTGCAGCATTCTAAACCCATATACATCGACTATGCGCAAAACGCAACTTGAACTAATATATCGCTATGAGCCTGTGGCAAAATCGTTCAGAAATAGGCTACAAATAAGAAGCCGTTTTTCGAGGGCGCCAAGGAGCCCTCGCGAGGGCACGGACGAACGCACGGGATGTAAAGCTGGAGATTGATCCGAACTTTCATTTCACCAAACCTATTTTTTTTTCCCTCCCGTGCCACAACACACACAACGAACGACTGGTGCGCGCCCAACCTCAGCCCCGTCTTTGAGGCACAGGACGCTCAAAAAATAAAATCCATCCTTGTCCCTGAAATCGTGCCTTCCCAGTCGAGAGCGACCGCACCGGTGAAAGGCGGACCTTCGTCTGGCGTGCCGTGTCCTTACGTAGGCGTAAGCACTCACCGGGTGGGAGGGTTGAGAGAGGAAACCCAAAGGTGGGGCCTTGTTGCCATCCCTTCTCTTCAGGAGAAACACCACGAACGGAAACACGAGCAGACAATGCAAGCGTCGTTGCCGTGTGCGCCCCCCCCCCCCACCTACAATTTGTCATCCTA